CGCGGATCCGCACACCTCCGGTTGCAACCAGCAGACCCCAGGATGGTTTCAGACATCCCGACCGCAGCGCTCTCCGCACGGCTGGCACCACCTTCTCCCCACACGCAGCTGGCATTTAATGATGCTGAGACGTGGGGAGCCCTACAGCCCCTGTGTGCCAGGCAGTCAGATCCCCACTGCTCCTCGTTGCTCCTCCAGCCCCTGTCATACAATCATAGAATCATCTAGGTTGGAAGGGACCTTCAAGATCATCCAGTCCAAACATCAACCTAACTCTGACAAAAAAAATCATCACTAAACCATGTCCCCCAGCACCATGTCAACCCGTCTTTTGAACACCTCCACGGATGGTGCCTCAACCACTTCCCCAGACAGCCCATTCCAAGGCTTCATAACCCTTTCCGTGTAAAAATGTTTCTTAATCTCCAATCTGAACCTCCCCTGGCACAACTTGAGGCCATTTCCTCCTGTTTCATCGCCTGTTCCTTGGGAGAAGAGACCGACCCCCCCTGGCTACACCCTCCTTTCAGGGAGTTGGAGAGAGCGAGAAGGTCTCCCCTCAGCCTCCCTTTCTCCAGGCTGAACACCCCCAGCTCCCTCAGCCTCTCCTCACAAGACTTGTGCTCCAGACCCCTCACCAGCTCCGTTGCCCTTCTCCAGACCAGCTCCAGCCCCTCAATGTCTTTTTTGTGGTGAGGGGCCCAAAACTGGACACACCAGTGCCCAGTACAGGGGGATGGTCACCTCTCAGGTCCTACTCACCACGCTGTTCCTGACACAGGCCAGGATGCTGGTGGCTTTCTTGGCCACCTGGGCACACTGCTGGCTCCTGTTCAGCCGACAGTCGACCAACACCCCCAGGTCCTTTTCTGCCCGGCAGCTCCAACCACTCTGCCCCCAGCCTGGAGCATCCATGGGGTTGTCCTGCCCCCACTGGCAAGGGCTGGCTGTTTCCTTGCAGGTCACAGAAAACAGGGGCCGTGACCCGACTCGTGGGTGCTTCCTGGCCCTGCTCCTGGTTGTAGGGGAGAGCTCTATGTCATGGGCACCTCATATGTGCCTCGTATTAAGTGGATGAAGAGCCAGCTCACTTTATCAAGTTTGCTTAAATGTGATTAGAAACCTGGGCAGATTTCCCACTTTAAGTGACCGTAAATGGTGCAGGGAAGGCAAAGTGAGAACAACTGCTTGCGCTCTCGCCAGGTGCGAAGGGCTGGCTGGAGATCTGATAAAAGGAATTATTGTTTTAAGGCAGGAAATCAGGAATTGTGGTGATCTACTCCAGCGAGGCACCGTACAGCCGACTGCGCGGGGGGATCAGATGCATTAATGGCTGCCCGAGAGGCAGCCGAGCCCCCTCCATTAACCAGCCTCTCCGTGACAAAAGGTTCCTGAGCCCATCTCCACACCTTGGCTCTCTCTGTCTGCAGCAAACCAAGGATATTCGGGAGAGGGAATTCCCTCTGGCTGCTGCAGCATCTCATCTCTGCCCTGCGAAACGCCGCTTGGCTTCTGCTGAGCTGGAGGCCGCTTCCCTTCCCCAGTGCTGGAACTCGCTGGGGACGAGCTGGACTGGTAACAAACCCCACCAAGACACCACCATCAGCCAGGGCACAGGGGCTGCTAGGGCCTGCCCAGTGCTCACTGAGGGTCTGCAGACCCCTGGTACCCGCTGTCCTCCTCCTCTTCCCCAGGAGAGGCTGCAAGCAATGATGTCCCACCTCTCTCTGTGCTCCTGCCACCTCCACCCCTCGCTCCTGGGCAAGGCAGCAGCATCTCTGCACCTAATCACAGATGGGCTGCATTTAAAAAAAAACCCCAACCAAACCCAAAACCAAAGCCCACAGCACAGGATTTACACATACCATGTTAAAATACTAAGGCAGCAGCATCTCTGCACCTAATCACAGGTGGGCTGGATTTAAAAAAAAAAACAACAACCAAACCCAAAACCAAAGCCCAGAGCACAGAATTTACACATACCATGTTAAAATACCACTTTGGGGCTGCAAAGTCACACTTTGGATTGGGAAATGCCAAGAGGGGGCTGCTCACAGCCGTTGCCATACCCTGCCTTTCCCAAAGTGAACAGGACAGACACCGGCTCAGAATGGAAGTTGTGCAGAACACAGGCAGTTCCAAACAGTCACAAGCTTAATCCTGCACCCTAAATTACACCAATTAGTGCACGGAGATATATAAATCACTAACTGATCTAACCTCCTCCATGGGATGTTACTCCTCCATGGGATGTTACTTTTCCCAAAAGCCTCATGCACCAGCAAAGGAGGACAAATGAAGCACAGGACAGTCCCCTGCCCCAGCCTGACCTGACAATAGCTTCTTCTCTTCCAAGGTCAAGAGGGCCACGGGACCCCATGTAACCCAGTGGGTCACCCAGCACCTGGAAAACGACCTGCAAAAATCACTTCTTCAGAAATAAGGATTTTTCCTTCCAGTGAATCACTTCACATGAGACCATGCAGCCACATCTTTCATTCTCCATGTTTTATTTTTACAGAGAAAAAAAATAATATGCAGCAGAACAAGAAATTGCTAGTGATCAGCATCTTCAGCATTGGACACGCCAGACCGGGATGTGCCCTGGGAAACGCATCTTCCCTCTGGGTAGGACATAGGTGTTGCTCACACTGCAATTTGCTCCAACTGCTTATTTCATCCATCAAGAAAGAACTGGAACAGGGGGATCTGAGTTATTATCTCCTCCTAATGATACGGGAGATGCTCGACAGTCCCCGCACAGCCGCAGAGCTCTCACTGGGTGTACACTGCTGGCAGGGCATCTGCTGATGATATGCCTATGCAGGCTCTTGCAGGATACAAAGGCAGGAGAGATGACCCTGAACAGGAGACATGAGCCTGAACTACACCTGATGTGTGATTTACACCATCCTCCTTCCACTGTGACAACACTCACTCAACAGGGACCAAAGGGATCAAAGTCATAATGCACCACTGGCATGCTTTTCCCGAGCTAAGCCTTATGAGAGGACTATAAATAAGGCAACTTCTCCCCAAACCCTCCTAAACCTTTAGTCTTCCTCCAGAGTTTTTCAGGAACAAAGGGAGATCAGCTTTACCAAGGCTGTCAGGATTTCCACAGCTCCCAGCCCCCACGGAGCCAGAAAAGAGGGAACAGCTTCCATCTCCACCAGCCTGTGGTTCAAAATCCACCACTTACCTCCTGACACATCTGCTCGGAGACCATCAAGACGTACTCTCTTGTTCTGTCACCATCCCTGTGCTCATCCTAAGCACCACACATAGCTCTTCTGTCTCCAGGCAGGCATCAGATGGTCTCCAGCAGTTCCCCCTCTGCTCTCCACATGTGGCCACAGCCCAATTTTAGGCTCTTCTTTAAGCAGTGATATCCAGGGCTTGGAGGTGCCCTGTCCAGGGCTTGGAGTTGTCCTTCAGCCTGGCAGTGGCTCAAGGTATCTCCACGCCTGCCAGCCCAGGAGCTGGGTAAGGCCTGGGAAGGCAGAGGCACCTGGCCATTAGCACTAATCCTCAAGACCTTGAGCACCATCTCCTGGTCATTCCCAGATTCAGTGGCAACTTAACCTCACGCTTCCCACATTTCTTCCTCAGCGCGAAGCCTGGAGGACAAGCTGCGCATGAAACTGAGGAAGAGAAAGGTGGCAGCACCGCACGACACGTGCAACCCTTCAGCAGGGTCATGTGCGTGATGCCACACACAAAGTGCCACAGAGAACATGAGCTCCACCAAACCCTTCTCCTGGCGTCCCTCCTTGCTGTTCACTTCTTTTCTCCAAGCTCCAAGAGGAACAACAAACGATCTCACTGGCACCGCCGCCGTGGCACTCTCCGTGTGACCGTCCCTGCCTGGTGGCCGTGAGCAGCCGGCACAAGATGCTGCTGGAAACCTCCAATCTGTTCCTGCCCTGCGCTCCGTGGAGGAGCAGCGCTCGCCGCGGGGTCTCGGGCCGCGAGCTGCGGTGGGAATCACCGTCGGCACAGAAATACCGCAGCGGCAGAGTTCAACCTTTTGGCACGAGGGAAAGGAAGATAAATGCTACCAGTCCCCCTAGAGCCACAGGAACCCTGCATCTATCTAATTGCACTTCATAATGGATTCAGCAAACCATTAATTATCAGATTATATTTTAGGAAAGCGCAGATAAAAAAGCTTTATGAAATTTTAGCCTTAAAGGGGCCGGTGCACTGCAATGAAGCCGTCGCACCGCGCTGGCACCAGAGGAGCAAACTTCACGGTGGGTATCTGAAAGCCTTCTACAAAGCAATGCCCTGTGTGCCCCGGGGGATGCCTGTGTGCGGTGACAGCAGCACAACCAGACAGAAACACCTTCATTAGTGCCAACCCACCGATACCAGGCACGGGGGGCCCCACCACACAGGTACTGCTCTTCCTCAGCTGCAGTGCTTCAGCGTGTCCCCAGCGCACCCCAGGGAGGCAGGAGATGGCAGAGCTGCTCCCTCACAAAGGGGATGTGGATGCCCAGACCTGCCTGTGACCGTTCCTCGTGAGGCACAGTCCCAGCAGAGATGTGGACAGAACCAGACCTGTGCTACACAGGGTACCACCTAAACACTCCGAAGCCATTTAACACAACTCCCAGGGAGTCTCTGCTCAAGGCCCAAGTGCCAGCTCTGCGCTGGAGGACTTTTCTAGCTGGCACAACGGGCAGCACAACGAGACCAGGGAAAGCACTGAAAAACATCCCTGGAGGGGTTCTGGGGTGGAACTGGATGCTCTTTCAGGTCCCTTCCAACCCAAACCATTCTGTGATTCTGTAACAAAGCAGCCCTTACCCTGCAGAGCAGCAGACACCTGCAAACACATCTCTGATTCAGCCATAGAAATCTCCACCCCATATTCTCCAAACAACTTTTTCTTTGGTTTCACATAACCCACCCAGCCCAGCTTTGTCCTGCACTGGTCTCCTCCTCTCCACTCTGCTCACAGCAGTGAAGGGACACACATAAACACACCCATCTTTTCCTTTGCTGCTTTATTTCTCTTGAGCCAGGAAGGTTGGGTGGTCCAGCTCACCTGAGCTGCTGACTGCAGGGAGAGTTCCCAGTTCCCTGTTAATGTCTACAGACCTCTCCTGTCCTTGGCTCCTGTCCTTGGCCATGCTGTGCTTACTGGAGGCCATTTCATTTGCAGTGTCACGTAGCCAGGGCTGTTTTCCCAAAGAAACCCTGAGTGTCCCTCTGGAGCAGCACGTACAGCTCCTGAACGAGTCTAGTAGATACCGGGAGCACTGCGTGGGCACCCGCTGCTCACTCTCACTTGGTTTCTTCACAAATCAGAGTGACTTTGTCATCAAACAAGTCCTCCATGGTCACTGCCACCAGCTCGGAGCCAGCTTGGCTCATCTGGGATTCCGGCAACGTCACAAAGACTTGGGAGCCAGCGAGTTGGGCCTCATCAAAAGAGATGATGTGCTCTGCGTCTCCTTGCTCCAATGTCTGAATTACCTGTGTGGAAGATGACCTGAGTCAGACACCTACAGCACCGCTTTCTCCACGACTCTTTGCTGCCCACATCTTTCGCAGCCCCAGCTCTGGTAATAACATTTAGCTTCACGCCAGAGGTCTGCAATTACAATAGGTGTGAGACTAATGGGAAACACCAAACCACATACACTGATGATGCAAAAGAGAAGACAGCAGAGTAATTTAAATATTTCTCTCCACAAAATTGCTATAATTTAGCTCCACAAGCAGTTGTAGACAATAAATGCTCTGTGATTATCCACTGGAGGAACGCCAGCCCAGGGAATCTTGCACACTTGGCTCCCTCATCCAAGGAGCTCTTCTCCACTGATGGCTGAGATACTGAAGAGAAGGAGTCTGGGTTCAAGCCCAGCATTTGGCGTCCAACAAAACAACTATAATCTCATGGGGTATGTCATCTGGGTTTCAATAGCCCCTGAGGAACCAGGCACCTCTGCACACACTATTGGTCCCTCCTGCTCAGCTCCTGAAAACCAGGACTAAGCTGCTTCCCCTCCAGTGAGCCCACCTCACACCAGCACAGAAAGCCCAGAGCCCTGTGGGCTGGGAGGCTGGACCCTTCTAAAATAGGGGAATCAGGGAGCAGAAGGGGTGACCAGAGCCATGGGGCGGGTTTGGGAAGAATAAGCGGGATGGAGGGGGAGGATGGACGAACAACCTTGGGAGCCATGGCATATAGCAGTCTTTACCTGCACAATCTGGGTTGTGGTGGCTTGGGAGAAGACCATCTTGGGATGCTCAGCGCTGCAGTGACCCTCCAGCTCACCCTGGGAGGGGAAGAGCTCCCCACAGAGCTCACAGGGGAAGGTGCTCTCTGTCTGCTTGAAGTGCTCGGTGGCAACGTGGCTCTGCAGGGCCCCTGGGAAACAGAAGGAAGCTGAGCAGTACAAGCAGCAAAATGGCTGGGAGCCTGCAGGGCTGTCAGCACTGTCCTGAGCCTGGGCTGCGATGGCCAGGGCCAACCCCGGGCACAGGGAGCTGCAAACTGCCAGGACACGCAGGGCAGAAACCCAGCAGGGACTCGGGACATGGCACGTGCCAGTGTCCCATCTCCTGGCACACCACTGCCCGCTCAGTTCTAGCTCTGGCTCCCTGCAGCACTGGCAATCAGAAACCAGGCTGGTGTATGATTGTAGCTGCGGCTGCCCCACCTCACAAACACCTCTTCTCCCTGTTCCTTTGCATCACTCAGCACTGCTCCTTGTTGGCGTGGCTTGCAATGTCTCCTGCTCCATCTCCTCCCCTGCCATCCCATGCACAGCCCTGGGGACCCACCTTTCGTAGCAGTCTGGTCTCCCAGTTCACCCTGCCTCACAGCCATGCTTCAGCTTGCCAAAGGGCCCTTGAGGTGGCCTCCCCAAGCCTAGGTCCCTCTCCGATCCTTCTGGTGCTAAACTCACTTTTTCTCCAGTCTCCCACTAGCTCTCTCCTCCACAGACTCCCATGCTCAGGGTTCAGTTCCTCATTTCTCTCTGCTGATGCCTCCTCACCTTCACTGAGCTCTCTTTTCTGCTGTAACAAGCAAATCCAGATTCCTCCTTGACAACAGTGGCTCCAGAAGCTTAACAAACATGTACCAGCCTCACCAAAACCAGTGCTCTTCCACCAGTTCATCCATTCATTTTCTGTTTCCTCACACTCTGCTTCCTCACCATGTCCACCTTCTCTCCCACTTACAGCTCAGACATCGCTCCCTGAGAGGAGAAGTCATTGCTCACAAGGTAAACATGAACAAACAGCAGCAAACAGAACTGACCTGAGTGCCTGCACTTCACGTGGACCTGCAGGAGAGCCAGCGTGGGGAAGAGCTCCTTGCACATCTCACACTTGTGGAACTTCACATCTGCAAACAAGGCCAAGAACAGAAAAGTGTGCACCCAAGGTCTTCTACAAGACACCTTCTGGACCAGAGCTCTGTTAATGTTTCAGCAACACCACACATGCTTATAGACGTGAGGAACATCTCTCCTCCAGGAAAAGGAGAGAACAAGAGCAAGTGAGCTGCAAGAGGGTGAGATGAGACTTGTCAGAAAAGACTGTTGCAGGAACAAAGAATCTGCTGTGATCTGCAGGCAAACGGGATGCGCAACCTTGTCCTATGGGGGTTATTGAGACACCTCTCCCAGCAGCTGCCATGCATTTTTCTTCACTAACAAATGGGCTGTTACCTGTGTGCTCTGCCTTGACATGCTTTCGGTGAGCAGCAGTGCTGGAGAAGGTTTTGTCACAGGAGCTGCACTGCAGGGAGGAGAACTTGGAGGAGCGGTGATTCTGAGCTGCAAAGACATCAGGGTGGTGGGTCCGGTTGTGATACCATAACCCTGACAACTGCTGCAATGATAAGGATCAAATCACAGTTAAATACAAAACTGCTCCAGGGACATCGTGACACCAAGAAACTGTGGAAAGCAACAAGAACAGTGAGGCTGTGCTCAGCAGGTATGAGACCTGCTCACCCTCCCACAGGACAACAGCCAACACCTCACTCCTGGTTCTCCGTTGCCCCCAAAGAGCTGAACCCCGCTGAATCCCTCATCCCCATCTCACTTGCCACAGGTCTCCTTTCCATGTGAATTTTTGTTCCCTTGTAGGAATGTTCTCCCACACCCACTCCCACTGAGGTGTGCCATTTGCAACACGAGTAGTTTTATTCCTACACTTCCCAGCAGACGGAAACTTGAAGTGGAAGAGATTCTGGAGGGTGCAGATGGGCAGGTATGTAGCCCTTTGCAGCCATGGCCTGTCTCTCTCCATGGACCTGCCTTTTCATAGAATCATAGAATGGCTAGAGTTGGAAGGGATCATTGAGTTCTAACTCCCACCAGACCAGGGTGCTCAAAGCCCCCTCCAACCTGGCCTTGAACCCCTCCAGGGATGGGGCAGCCACAGCTTCTCTGGGCAACCTGGGCCAGGCTCTCACCACCCTCACACCAAACAAGTTCTTCCCCAGATCTCAGCTCAGTCTCCCCTCTTTCAGTGTCAAACCCCTCCTCCTCATCCTATGTCTCCACTCCCTCATAGAGTCCCTCCCCATCTCTCTTGTAGCCCCTCTTTAAGTATTGGAAGGCTGCTATAAGGTCTCCCTGGAGCCTTCTCTTCTCCAGGCTGAACAACCCCAACTCTCTCAGCCTGTCCTCACAGCACTCACGTCCACCAACACCCCAAAGTCCTTCTCCTCAGGGCTGCTCTCAATCCATTCTCTGCCCAGCCTGTATTCGTGCCTGCCTTTTCCCTATGGATTCTGCCTTCTCTATGCAATGTTTCCTTCTGTTGACCACAAATTGCTGCACTTGGTGCTCACGGCCAGAAGAGACATCCTGGTGCGGGAGCAGGCAACAGCAACCTCCAGCACATGAGACCAAGCCCTTGCTGTGCCAGCTCACCTGGTAGGCTTTGCCACAGATCTCACAGCTGAAGGGCTTTCCTCCAATGTGGGTCACCACATGGCGCTCCAGGAGCGACGGGGCGCTGAAGACCTTGGGGCAGGTAGGGCAGGGGTGGTACTCCCGGGAGTGGGCTTCGTGGACGTGCCTGCGGTGCTCCTGCAGGGTGGCAAAGCTCATCCGGCACTTCTTGCAGTCGTAGGGATCTTCGATGTCTGCCGCCCAGGAACGTAACAAACAGGAGACAAAGAAATCAAGGAGAAAAAAAAAGAATTAAGAGGAAAATTCACAGAGAGAGAAAGGAAAAGGGAAATAAGAGCTTGTTACACCCCAGATGAAAACTAGCGCAGAGTTTTGGCCTTGCATACAGGGGTTGCTGCTCCTGCTCATCTACAGCTTCCCGCGGTGGGTTCCCAGCAGCTTGCACTTTGCTGGAAGCCAGCTCTGCCATTTTCTTTGGGATAATCCTACCCACAGCATCAAATCTCTAAAGAGTTCTTGCTTTTCTTGGGAGGGAACAACCCCACCATGAGACACCCAGCCAGCCTGCAGGCACCAGTAACACGGCACGAGCCCCTGCTGGTACAGACGGGTCTGCCATGACCCCGCAGAAGCCGTGTCTTGCAGGCTGGGCTGCCCGAGACAGGGAGGCGGGTGGTCACACTCACTGTGGAGGGTACGGAGGTGGATGGAGAGCCCGTTGGCCTGGCGAAAGCCTTTCCCGCACTCCCGGCAGACGTAGGGCTTGTCCCCCGTGTGGGTCCGGACGTGGCGCGACAGCTCAATGGACTGGGCGAACACCGCATGGCAGTACTGGCAGGCGTACATCTTCCCTGCAGGGACACCCCGCCTGAGAGCCCGCACCCAGCCCGACAGGAGATCTGCCCAGACTACGACTAATTCCAGAGGGAGAGATCATAAACCAGACAGGCTTCCCTGGGGTAGCCAGAGCATCTCAGCGCAGGGTCAAAAAGGTCCTAGAGGTGCTGGAGAAAACCACACCTGCACAGGGAGTATTAAATCACTATGAATTTCAAGTATCTGGAGGTACTATGTGCTTCTGGAGGTACTACACGCTGGCATGTCTCATGTTCAAAATTAACTGCCCAGCTGCAACACGCTCATGCCCCAGCAGTGGAAGGGGCTGGGTGCAGGGGCAGGAGAAACACCAACATAAAAACCTGAATGAAATCAAGTCAGAGGGAGGGACAGAAGAAAGCAGGTTAACCAGAGGGAGGGGGACACATCACAAGAATTTAGATATGAGGGGACAGAGAGGAGCTCAGGAGCAAAACAAGGCAGAGAAAGAGAGAGAACCCCAAAACAGAGAGCAAGCTGCTAACTGGGTGGGTACAGGGAGGAGGTGGAGAAGGGGATGGGGGAGAAGCAGAGCTGGGAACAGCAGCCAAAAGCATGTGGGTAAAGATGACCTGGGAGCAGCCTCCCAAAGGATGGGGAGGGCGGGGAAGCAACCAGGAGGCAGATGGAGGAGTAGGGCAGGAAGGAGTGGATGGAGCAAGCCAAGCCCATGGCTGGGCTTCCGCAAGGCAGGCTCACCCTCAGCATGCTTCTTCTTGGTGTGGTAGGCGAGGGCCGAGGCCTGCATGAAGGTCATCAGGCAATGCTTGCACATGAAGGGCCGGTCCCCCGTGTGCAGCCGCAGGTGGTTCTTCAGTGTGGAGTTGGCCGCAAACTTGGCCCCGCACTCCTGGCAGGAGAAGGGCTTCTCGTCAAAGTGCTCCGTCAGTTTGTGGTACTGCATCCCTGGGGAGGCAGAACAGGGGGGTGGCACTGGTGGGACCCCACGCCTGCCCTACCCAACCCTGCTGCAGAGGCACCACTCTGCCCAGTCCAGAGCTCCACATCGGGGGTCACCCTGTGTCCTCCAGTCTGGAGGTCCACCAGGACATCACAAGCTGCCACAGGGAAGGCAAAGAGACTCAACTCCTCTTACTCATCCTGCTAAACCAGCCACAGAACTGGAACAGCTTGATTATTTTTGGAGGCTTTTAAGTTTGCCAGTAGCCCCACTTCTCCTTGATGAGCCATGTGGAAAAGCAATTAGGGAAGAACTAATCAGAAAGCGGTTGTGCTCAGTGGGGCAGGAGAAATGAGCTGAGCTGCATTTCTCACACACAGCGTTCACAGAGCTGCAGGGGGGAGGAGGAGATTTCAGACTATCACTTTATTATATTGTCCAGATTTCGGTCCCACCAACCCTACCTGAGGCATGAGCAAACTCTCGGCCACAGATGTCGCATGCCACGGGGAGCCGCTTCTTCTTCTTTTTGGCTGCCCCCAGCATCCCGTGGACCTCCAGCTGATGCTTCTCCAGCTCCTTCTTTGTGGATTTGACCTCACTGCACTCCTTGCACTGGATTTGCTTCCCTCTGGCCACCCGACAGCGTTTCATGTGCACCTTCAGGCGGCAGTAGAAGTGAAAGGTCTTATCGCAGGCCTTGCAGACAAAACTCTTCTTGGAAGAAGCTTTTTCCTGGTGTTCCTTCAGGTCCTTGGCACCAGCACCTCCCGTCTTGTCTTCATCTTTGTCCAGAGCTTCAACTTGGGATTCACTGTTCACCTTCCACTTCCTGATCCCAGGTTTCTCCCCAGTTCCCTCAGTCAAGAGACCTACAGAAACAGTAATTCCTGTTTCGGTGGTGACCAGCAGGACCAGGCACCAGCCCATCAGTCTCCCATCTGCTGAATGCTTCTACACAGATAGTTGTCCCTGCACAGCAAGAACAGACACACATCGGACACGCTGTCCCATCACAACGGACACACATCGGACACGCTGTCCCATCACAATGGTGGCACGTGGCACATGGCTCTGCCCAAAAGTGGCCATGGCCATGCATGGTATGATGGATGAAAGCGTGGTCCTTGAGTTTCTCCACCCAGACGTACCAGGGGCTGAGTAGCCTGGAAAGAGCCAGGGCCAGATTTTCCAAAGAGCCTGCTCCTCAAACAGGAGCATCAGTTGCTTCCAAGTATCTGCCTCCTGCTCAGACACGGGAAGTTATGGCCATGATTAAACGTTTGAAGATCTGAGCCTCAGGTATGGTACTGTCTAAGTCTGCCATTGAGAGTGGATACCCAGCTATTAATTACAAGAAATCTCAGAAATACTTCGCAAACACAAACTCTTTGAAAGAGAACAGATAATCTTGCTACGACCCTTTTGAGTCTGCTGGTTAGGGCCCTGAGGTATTTTAAATCGCTCATTACATTCACTTCTTACAAAGTATAATGCTTTTCTGAGGCTCTGTAACACCATCATCTCAAAAAGCACAAGCTGTAAAATTCACCCAGGAATCTCAGTCTACAGAAAAGACCCACAGGGAATGCACGTATGGAAGAAATCAAAATACAAACAGATAGATTTGGCTTCTCTGCTATAATGAGAACCATGCAACGGCGTGGCCATGGAAACCAGCACAGACTTCTTTTGCCAATGCACAGGAAATTCAGCCTGTGCTTGTGAAACTTCATTTCTGCTTCCTCGCTATGGGCAGAGCTCAGCACCATGTCCCCCCTGCACAGCGCTCCTGCCCTGGATTTCCAACGAACTAGAAACCAGGTGACATATTGCAACAGACTCAGAAATCTTAAGTGGTGACCCATCGACCTCGGAATACATCAAGGGAGAAAAACAGACTGGAAGACTGGTTTCCAGTTTGTCCTGCTCTGTCAAGACAGCAATACAAGATCTCTCTCCACATCCCTAGAACCAACGCTGGCAGTTTTTCCTGACCCAAGTGAAGAAGTATCTTTAAATCTCCCAGAAATGTTGAATGTCAAAAAGAGTTACTTTGCTGGGCAGGATGAATGGGAACAAAAGGCCCCCACACCCTGCGTGCATCCCCAGCAGCGTGGCCAGCAGGGCCGGGGGGGGACTCTGCCCCTCTGCTCCGCTCTGGGGAGACACCCCCCTAGTGCTGCCTCCAGCTCTGGGGCCACCAACAGCAGAAGGACACGGACCTGTTGGAGCTGGGCCAGAGGAGGCCACGGAGATGCTGCGAGGGCTGGAGCCCCTCTGCTGGGAGGGGGGGCTGAGAGAGTTTGGGGGGTTCAGCCTGGAGAAGAGAAGGCTCCGGGAAGACCTTGGAGCCCCTTCCAGTCCCTGAAAGGGCTCCAAGAAACCTGGGGAGGGAGTCTTGATCAGGGAGGGGAGCCCTAGGATGAAAGGGAAGGGTTTGACACTGAAAGAGACACTGCTACATCAGGGCAGCAATTCTACTCCACTTGGCAGCCAGCATACCCCCCAGAACCTCTCCTGTGGGTGAAGACAACATTTCATACCTTGTTAGAGCAGCATCAAGCAACAGACATTGCCCAGCTGGCTTCCATCCTTGGAGATGCAGGAAGCCTAGAGGTGAACCCAAGCGCTCTCATGAGAAATAAGACCAGACTGAAGAAATGACTGCACATCAGGCCTGAGGGGCAGGACCTCAGCATGCCTTGGCCGTGCCCCTGGCTGAACCTCCTGGGAGCAGACAGAGCCCGAGGGCAAATGTACACCAGAAAGCTCCCAGACCTCTTGGTGTGTGACCATCCTGCCTCCCACTTCTTCAACTTAAGCTGGAAGAAAATTCCCCCTACGCCTTTGCATTTTGAAGGTCGCTCCGATGCTGACACACATGGTGGCTTCTAACGCAGAATCTTTAGAGGGGAGAATGGCATTTTGCTCACAGACCCTAGGGTTTAACAATTCCAGGGGCTGGCGCAGGCCTAAGTTAGATGCCAACTGTCTTCTTTAAACACAAGGCTATGCAGAGAAAAAGCCTTTTTGCTGAGTTCTTGACACATTTCTGAGATCTGAAAGGCATATCTTAACAAACATGATCTCCCCAAAAGTGACTGTACAGAGAACTGGAAAGCAGCTGGCAAGAGGGGAGGTTATGGCGTTGGCTGGAAGAGCCAAACCTCGTCCTTGCAAGCTCCAGCTGCCGACAGTGAAAGAGCTCTCACTGTAGAAGGGACTCAAGGAGAAGCCAATGGATTTCATATGGTACCTCCACCAAAGAAACCAACTCAACTGATGATGCCGAGTGTGGCTGGGGATGGATGCAGACACCTTCCTCCACAAGCGACGCCTGGTGCTTTCCAAGTGCTTCAGCCCACCTAAATTAAATATCAGAATTTTTTACTTTTTTTTTCTTTTTTTTCAGGAGAGATGTAAGAACTGTTGCTTTCAAGTGGAAATGCAAACTGTACACATCTCCACACAGCACATATGTTCTTCAGAAATGTAAGCTTTCAGGTAGAAGCTCACATCCCTCAAACATGAGGACCACAGTTACCATTCATATCTCATGCCAAGACCCACATGGCTATTGATCTGTAAAGCCATCTGCAGCATTTGGGGCTGGTAAGCAGCGATATCAGAGCTGAGGAGACTGGCCTAGACATTAAGATATGGACATTCAATGCAAAGATCCATAGGATGCCAAGAAGGGGCCGGTAACTGGCAATCCTCCTCAGGACACCTCATACAGAATACATTATTTTTGCAAAGTAAGTACCATTTTTTCAGGGCTCTTGTTTTTGATGTTGCCTCTTGCTTGATTTAGTCTCAACCTTGGCTTGAAGCCCTGCAAAGACACTTAGTAACAGCAGTCTGCTCCCTTTGATATTGGTGCCAGAGAAGCAGGCATCTGCCAGAGCAATCTCGCTGCTTCCCCAGTTCCCTCAGGGGCAAGCTCTGCAAGGTGTCCAGAAACTAAGGTGGGCTGCACCTTCACAGGCACGTCCAGTTCTTGCTGGCTTTCCTTCTCTAGAGCCATCGGGGCATCAGCCCTGGCACATCCTGTGGTCAGACAGGGCCAAGGGCAGTAGGCAGGTGCCTGCATCATCAGCAGGAGACAGAGGAGGAACAGAAGATAAGAAGGAGTCGCCTTTTCTCTGGAAATTCTCATCAGAGCCACGACTGCTGAAAAAGCCAACTGGACTGGTGGCAGCTCTTGGTGGAGTTAGAAGAGAGGACCTATATCTGAACTGGGCATGAACACTGGATCTACCATAGGACATCTCTCAAGGAAACCGTTAAGGCCACTGAGCCAAGAGAGGGGAGCAGAGCACATGCCGTCACCCTCCCAACCCTATGGCTAGAGCAGGAATCCAGCTCCTGGATTCTTCTACACGTGCCCTGCTCCCAGTCCCCCAGTCCCATCTACTGCCCCATCAACACTTCCCCATCAAGGGGAAGTGTAAAGGTAACGAACTGCAGCTCGCTCTTTGCCCCTTCCCAGCACGTGGGGGACATCAGCTTCACCTCTTGCTGTGGAACATAGAACGATGGTGAGTATCAAAGCCAGGAGGTTTGCGTTCACTCATAAAGACTGATCATGGGCCTGACCCAAATTTTCAGACAAACATTATACCCCTAAAAAAGAAAAGACATTAATAATAAGCTGCTTACTATAGCTACCCAGCAATCTGCTAATATTTCCACACTGCTCCAGAAACTAAGCTGCTCTGGCAAACAGGGACAGCCTGAGCCGAGCCAGCGCCTGTGCCCGGATAACAATCGCCCCGGGTACATCCCAGGGGACTCTGCAGCCCAAAGAATCTGGATACTCTGGGAAGCAGGATGCCATCAAAATGTATGTGAGCAAACAGAATAAGCAAGTCACATTTGCATCCTTTTCAGGAGAACGCAAACCTGCAGTTAGCTTCCTGCCCCTCTGCTATTGTTTTCATTAAAGCACCAAATTCTGTGAAGCTTTCATTCAAATGGCGGATGCAGAGACACAATTCCACTCAGCTGGAAAGCTTCCCACAGCTCAGGGCAGGGCCTCACACATGGTTATTGCTGTGCATTTGTTTCCTGAGTTCACCAAATTGCTATCTGCATATGTTTCCTTCCACCTTTGCCAAACGAGTACAGTATGTAATGTTTCCCTACTGCCACGGGACCCTCCCAGGGGATCTCTGGCTCTGTAAAGTGTATGCAGAGCAAGACCAAATTAAGGCACCGTAAAATTCACTCAGAAAATAGTCTGGGACTACAAACTGCACCATCACGGTCATGTTTGCATGAGACAAGTGTGCTCCGATGTGACCTTTTCACAATCAGCCTGTGAAGTACCCTTGGGTACACAGATAAATTCAGGCATTGTAATACAAGCCCAAATTCATACAGTACTGGAAAAGCCTAAGAAACCCCACGGGTCAAAGATAAAAATTCTGAAAACTAACCCAGTGTAGATACAAACTACATAACTAAGTTGCTTAAACACCTACTGAGCAAGGGCTGGGGTGGAGAAATGCAAACACAGTTACAGAACACCAGTAAGGCATTAGTTACAATCTCTACAACCCTCGTAACACAAAATACATTAATGTGGTGCACTTTACCAGCAGGGAAAAGCCCACTCCAGTGCCTGGATCCAGAGGTCACCCCCGAGAATCCTCCTGCAAGTACAAGGCTGACATCTCATCAGGGGTAAAATGACCTCAGGCCACCACAACACTGAGGTCCACTACCAAACTGCCCAAAACTCCCATAACTGCATGTAAAAAATCACCGCAGGATGAAAGGTTGTGCTTTTCTTACCCAGATGCCCCAGCTCCTGCATCACTGGCTGCAGGTCCGGGAAGGACTCGTGGACTCTACACAGCAGCTGACAGATCTTGATGGCCGGGACAGACTTCTCTTGGGCTGTGCTCAGAGCTGCTTTCAAGGAGGCCTCTGAACTTCCCTTCTGAGCAGAAATACTCAGTAGCTAGAGAAGGAAGAAGAAGAAAACACCACATGACAGAGATTTTGGGCTGTGAAAGGTCAGGATGGTCTGGGAGTGAGGGCACATCTGCTTTATTTCATCTCTACTGCTGGGAACCTGCTTTGAGAAACCAGAAAAGAAATCCCTTTCCATACAGGTCTTTGCCCCTCCACTGATATATGTGCACGAGCTGAGAGAATTTCAGGATTTAAAAAAAAGTTACAACAAATTAAATTCTCAGACTTTCTGTTTTGGTATTAGCTCACGTAAAACCACCTTTCCATGGAAAGAGCTGTTCCTCAATGCCTTACAGCATCACAAATTTACCCAACTCATAAACCTGTCCTTCATACACAGCTATCTGGGCTATTTCTCTCCCTTCCAAATCCACACGTTCTTCAGAGAGCCACTGCAAAGACAACCAAGGAGAGGATCTCTGCATGCCCAGGAGTACCTCACCCTTCCAGATCTCCAACGGCCACCAACCAGAGTGGGAACGAGCAACTGCAGACTGCTTGGTGGAAAAAGCCAGCTCGTTACTAACACAGCTCATTTTCCTTGTCAAAGGGAAAGCAGAGAAGGCACCTTGGGACACCACACAATCATGGCACCCTCAGTGCACTCTCTAGGAGCATTTCATTCTCATATGTCCTGGAACAGCCAACTTAAATGGAGACCCATTGCCTGGCAGCTCCACTTTCTCTAGAACTTCAGCACCCTTGTAGAGCTAGAATAGTTCTGCTGTGTTTGAATAGGCATATTTTCTCCAACTGAGAATCTCACTGGCAATTCCTTTTACCTAAGAACTCCTGCAGAATTTATATAAACACCCAACATGCTCTCACTTCACCAGATGGGCACCTCCAACTGTGGATGGCTTCCCCCACCTCAGTAATCGTAGAATCACAAAGTGGGCCGGGTTGGAAGGGACCTTAAACATCATCTAGTTCCCAGCCCCTGGCCTGGGCAGGGACACCTCCCACCACACCAGGTCCCTCCAAGCCCCCTCCAACCTGGCCTTGAACCCCTCCAGGGATGGGGCAGCCACAGCTTCTCTGGCCAACCTGGGCCAGGCTCTCACCACCCTCACACCAAACAAGTTCTGCCCCACGTCTCAGCTCCATCTCCCCTCTTTCAGTGTCAAACCCTTCCCCCTCCTCCTAGGGCTCCCCTCCCTCATCCAGAGTCCCTCCCCATCTCTCCTGGAGCCCCTCGAGGGACTGGAAGGGGCTCTAAGGGCTCCCCGGAGCCTTCTCTTCTCCAGGCTGAACCCCCCAACTCTCTCAGCCTGTCCCTTGATTTCAGTGCACGCTCAGACCTGTCCACCCTTTGAGCCCCAGACCACGCCAGCTCCAAGAGCATCCTCTGGTACCTCTTTTACTGCTTCTGTGAGTCCCATCTCCACCGGGGCCAAGCCCACCAGGTCTGCTCTCTGCTGGATGGCCTCCGAGATCAGCTTGCTGTGCCGCAGGATGATCTCAATGGCCATGCTCTCGCTGGTGGCCACTGAAGAGGAAAATAAAAAGTAAAGATATTTAAAAGCACAAAACCCAATGAGAACCTAAAAGCCTTAGCTTGTCCAGCCCCGTGCTGAAGCTGAGCTGTTTACAGCATGAGTGACTTCTTTAGGGCATAGGAAAGAGCAAACAATTACAGGTAAGCTTTAGTTACACTAATTACAGCATAAAACCCTAGAGGGCCTCACTTCTCACTCCTTGCCCAACTTTGGGTGAGAAGATTGAGTTTTCCAAAGCACATTGCTGAAAGAGACACTGCCAACCTCAAAAGGCAGGCATGATTCTCCCAAGACTCAGGATTTCTTCTCTCCCCCAATTACAGACACCCCATTCTGACTTCCGCAGAGAAAGAGGCATTTCTAGGCACAATTTGCCTCATCCAAGGACAGCCATGTGAAAAGCAGCCAGATGCACTATGCACCAGAAGTGCTGGTTTCTCCAGGCTGAGCACGGAGGGGATGAAGAAGAGGAGTCTGGATGGAGGCAGCTGCACAGGACCACCAACCCCAGTGCTCCTCACACTTGCATGAGGTTTTGACAATGGTTTTGGGGGAAAAGCACAGTTTAGGGTATTAAAGTAGGAAATCTCAAAGCCAGAGGCAGAAAGCTCAGAGGAGAACAGTGGTGGCTGCACACAGACCTCCAATGACACCCGTGCTTTCAGTCTGACAGGCCTCCAGCTGGTTATTAGCGCAGGATGGTGGCCAGCTCTCAAAAGGTTCGCCCTCTGCAAAACTTGAAGGCACAGAGCCACAAGCAAAGCAGACACATTTGCAGACAAAAGTGCTTTTCCAACCAATGAAACATTTCACCAAGGATATGGGTGATGAGACCCTTTAGAAGAAAAGAGGTTAGTGGTCAGGGAGAGGGCAAGGAGTTAAAAGAAGCTCTTTCCAGCAGAGAAGCTCAGGGAGAACACAGGGGGACACCAAGGTCATTACCTGCTTGGAAGAAAAACTCTGCACCGGGTTGTTTCCGGATGTCCTCCATGAGCGGGCTGAGCAGGGCCGGTTCCTGCAGAGCCACCAGCAGCTGCCACAGAGCAGAGGCCGACAGAGACCGCTCCTCCAGCACCGCCCACACCAGGGAGGCAAAACCGCCCCCGTGCTTCACAGCCTGCTCCATTGCCTTGGAAAGACCCACAGCAAGGCACTAATGAAGGACCCCATCCATCTGCCCTGTGCCACCCTTAGCCACAACCGTGGCTCACCCCAGACCCAGCCTTCCCTTGTTCTCACGCTGCTGAAGAACTGGCTCATGGTGCAAACCAAGTAGTGACCACTTGGAAGCTCAGCTCTTAGAATCACAGTATGGTTTGGGTTGACCTTAAAGATCATCTAGTTCCCACCCCCTGCCCTGGGCAGGGACACCTCCCACCACACCAGCTCCCTCCAAGCCCCCTCCAACCTGCCCTTGAACCCCTCCAGGGATGGGGCAGCCACAGCTTCTCTGGCCAACCTGGGCCAGGCTCTCACCACCCTCACACCAAACAAGTTCTTCCCCACAGCTCAGCTCCATCTCCCCTCTTGCAGGGTCAAACCCTTCCCCCTTCTCCTAGGGCTCCCCTCCCTGATCAAGCATCCCTCTCCAGCTTTCCTGGAGCCCCTTGAGGGACTGGAAGCGGCTCTAAGGTCTCTCTTCACCCACCCACATCAGACATTTCCTCAACTCGCCCTGAAGCTGAACGTCTCTCCTCACTGCCCCAGTCAGCCACTCTTATTTGCCAACCTTCAGCATCATACACATCACCTGCTTCACTCCCACTATGGGCTACTAAAGAATCATTAAACCCAGTCCTGCTGGAGAACTGCCCCACATCAAGCCCTGACAGGCAGTAAATCAAGTCCACAGGACTCAACAGGGATTCCAGATGGGGATTAAAGCTTGGTATCTCCTTGAAGATGTGCCCGAGGCCACTTACGTCTCTCTCAGCAGGAGCCAGGCTCTGTGCAGCAGAGATGCCCTGCAGCAGTGTCTGGGTGTCCGTGAGGAGCTCCACTAAGGTTTCTCGGTATCGTCTCAACAGTTTGGCTCCATAATCCTCTGGGGTCCACTTGGCTGAAGGCAAGTGAATGAAAATAAGAACAGCTCAGCTTGGAGCATCTTCCCAAAGGGCTCCAGAGCTGAGGGGCACTGAATAAGCCAAGGCAGCCACCTCTCCCTGGGTGACTTACATACAGGTTCATGCTCAGGACACGGGGAATTACCCTCAAGCAGAGGATCCATATGAGAAACCAAACCATCTCCAAATCAAAGACAACACAGAACATCCTCTGCCCGCATGTACCTACAGAAATAGATCTCTGGCACCCAAACGCCTTGTGAGTCTCAGTCCTAGTCTGAGCCCAGAAGAAGAATGTCTGTTTTCAGCCATGTTCAGCAGACAAATATGTGATCTTGTCTGTGAAGACAACACCTCGAGATGTTCAGCAGCCTCTAGAATCAAGGAAGCCCCATTACTGACTCTTAATTGTAGTTTCATAGTTTCACTGCAAGAGGTCTGTAAGTGAAAGTCTTTGATCCACTCCATTGAAAAGAAGCTCTGTCTTAGCAGTGTGTGACTATCAAACATTTTACACGCACCCAGAGGTCCAAGATAATCAAGAACTTAGCAGGCTGAGTTGTTCTTGGTGAAAACGTTAAGGGAATATAGATTTGCAAATGCAAAGCACCAGTAACACCCTCTTCTCTCCCGTACACCAAAAAACCACAACTTTAACCTCCTTCTTCCCATATCTACTTTCAGGCTGGGTCTGCTGAGGTTTGCCTTGATGAATCTGAGAAACAATTTCTCTAGAGGAACACCACAACCCTTTAAAGACATCCCAGTATTGGGACACAATGGGCTAATTCAAGAAAGAGGAACGGTGTTTATTGAGGATAATGAAGAGACTTGAACAAAATACACTGTGTACCAAAAGCAATATATGATTGTACTTGTCGCCAGATTAGTTGATAAATAAAACTAGAAATTGTTAAACAGGTGAATCTGAAAAGGATTTTTTTCACTGTTGAAGTTATTGAATTGGAGAAGATGCATCTTTCTACTTCTGTAGGAGAAACCAAAACAAAAAACTGTAGTTCATCCAAGATATCTGTGCATGTTTATTGTTTGTATGCTTAGGTCTTTTAATCATTTTGGTTCAGTACCATACAGAAAAAATCTATTATTTGCACCTGGGAGAAAAGCTGCTAAACACACACAGCTTGGTGAAAAGACAACACGGTCTCTGGGACCCAGAAGACATACGGTGCTGGGTGAGTAGAGAGAGCTCTCCAAGATGGAGAAGGAGGCAATGGCAGGCCATGGGAATAATCAACAGAAGACTCCGAGCTAATACGAAAACTCCTTGCACAAAGACACAAGTCTGCTCCCCAGCAAAGCCAAGGGAACCTCACAAAGCACTTGAACTCCGTAGGGGTTAGGTATGACTTGGATCTGCTCCACGTGGCTCAGGGGATGGTTTACAAATAAAAATGCTTTCCCCCTTCTCCCATCGGAATGTTTCTGTTTCAACTTACGCAAATTTGAGCTGTTATGAATGCACCCTCAGTTCTGCTGCCAAACCAAGGTGAGAACCACAACCAGAGCGTGCCCTGTGCCGCTGAGCAGGACATCCCCTTTTCTGGTCGCAGCACAGGACATCAATCAGCTGCCATCAGTGACTCTAATCATTCCCTCCCTCCTCAATAAGAAATCCCCAATAAGAAATATCTGTGCTTCTGTTTGTTCAAGCTGCAATTTTAGGAGATTCAGCTCTATGTAATTAAGGAATGCTCCTCCTCGGAATGGGTATTACCACTAGATAATTAACCATGTTGGGAGTCTGGTGTTTCAAGAAAGCAATCGTGCTTAACAAATGACAAAGCAAACTGCCTGTCGGGAAAGTCTGCTACAGAGGAAATTATCAGCATTATGAGCACAGTTTTGCTTTCTATTAAACACTCATTTACATTTCACTGCATGTTAATTTAGTTTTTAATTTTTAAGACTTCAGAGCCGGTGAAATTTGCCTCTTTATTTGAACTGCTCAGGGCTGTGCCTAAACCCTCCCAGACTTGGAAATTCGTCCCACCAGCCGAAAGGTGAGGACTCACGAGCCCCTGAACCAACACCGGCAGGCAACAAACAATAAACTCCACCAAAACAAGAAGGGGACTAGCTGTCCAAGATCACGATGTCTAATGGGGACACTGGGCATGGGACTCTACCAGAGCACTCTGCTCCATGCAGCAGACCACAACTCAATGACCACGATGTGCAGAAACACCACCCAACCAAACGCAAGGCCACATTCCCCCTCAGCCCAAGGAACTCACAAAGACTGAAGCCAAGAAAGACATTGCCTGTATTTAATTTCAAGACATCTACAGCTTTGGGCAAGTTTTAGGTATTTGCTTTCAAAGCAAGCAAGTACCATGAGTTAAAGTCACCAATGGAACGGAGTTTGGTAAAGATGCCTTCACCCGTGAAGGGTTTATTAAGTGAAAATTGTTCCATTCATTAGGGAGACACGTGCTGCTGCTTTTAAGTGTCTGAAAATCAAGAATTAGTTTGACACTGGAGGGAAGCGTTCTCCTGTTTGCCTGATACGACACCCCAGTTTCCACCCTGTCACAGTGTCAAAGGCCAGGAAGAAGCCCAACAGGCTTCTGCCCAACACTGCTCATTTCTTTGCAAACCAGGGGTTTTCTTGCTGGCATCATCCTCCTACCCCAGTGCTCCCAGACCACGTTTGTTTGCAGAAAAAGGCCATCCCATTCCCTTACACAAAAGTAAGATTATAAGAGCATGCTGAAGTCCAGACAAGCATCCAAAATTCCCGCCAATCCCCTGAACTGAGTCCCCAGGCACCTGAAGTTTAGTGTATCCATACCTTTGCCATCAGAGACATTTGCTGTTGTCACTAAGTTGTCCAGCAGCAGGTGGAGACCAGGGAATGATGCTTTCACAGCCCCAAGAAGTTTGACCAAACTTTCCACTTTCAGGGTTTTCTCTTCATGCACCTTCCTGAGCAGAGTGTCTATGGCCTCCCCCTGAGAGCCGCCTCCGCAGCAATCCAAAACCACCTGTGACAAAGAAACAGCCAAGAACCTGTTCTTGAGAGTTTCCCACAAACTCTTGGATCTGAAAAGAGATCAGAGAAATATGTATCACAGCACACAGGACTGCTGTAAATCCATACCCACTGCTTCCACTAATTTGATTAATGGGAAGGTGTTATGGGGGGGCAGTTACAGGAACATCTAAACACATCCCGGTATTTCTGACACATGTCACCTTGAGAACTACGCCGGTGGGTTCAACCAACACATCTAGCTCTTGGAAGTGGCTGACAAGCAAAAAGCATGTTTTCAAAGGGAACAAAAAACGACTTAAAGACAGGATTCAAAACAATATTTCATTTAATATTTTTAGCAAATACTTTTTATATTGGCAGTCTCTTTTCCCTTGTCTCCCCAATTTTTCTGCTTGTCAGCAAAAGACAGGGATGGAGGAAAAAAAAATGAAAAAGACAAGACTCTTTATTTAAATAAGCATCCTATTAATTGAATGATTATTTCTACGACGAGATCACATGAGACATATTCACTGTAGCCTAGAAAAGCTGTAGCATGCCTGTGTAACACCTACAGGGCTCCTGCCAGGGAAAGGCAGTTGACAAATCCAGGCTGACCCCTCTGCAAACGCGGTGTTCCCGAGCACCCGAAAGGCACTGGCAGGAACTCTGTCACCAGCCCAGTTCCCCGCTGTCATAAGCACTGCACCACACGGTCCCAGCAAGGAAAGTACTGAGATCTGTCCTAAAACCAGTTACATTTTTGCTCCCTTTCCCCCGGTTGGAAGGACAGTCTCATTCCCCTGTTGATTCTTCTAATTTTCAGCTTAAATTTATTCATGGCCATTGTATACCCATTTGTTCATGTGCCAACATTATCTTTTAGCTTTACAAGCCTTCTAAATTCTCTGAGGCGTTTACCCTGCCCTTCCTCTCCAATTTCTTTATAAGAGCACAGTCATATTCACCCTCAATCTTCATTTCACTTGTCTAAATAGGGCAGCTCCTCTCGTGAAACAGCTTCCCCACTCCCCTGATTATAGGACTGCAGATCTGTCGCTGCTTCAGTGAGAATTCCCCGGTTTGGAACAAGACTGGGAGGGCACACAAATTTCAGATGAGGTCTCAATTCTTAGTTCTCATTACGGCATCTAAACGCGGGTCCTTCACTTTACACTACCATGACATTCCACCCTCACTATTTAGTTCTGCAGCCGTGTCATTCCTCTCCCTCTTGCAGATCCTCCTCTCTGCGGACAAAAGATCCCACACTCGCTCACCAGCAAGTTTTGCTAAGCATGCTTTGATACTGTCGTGTCAATAACATTAGTGTTAATATTAAGTAAGTGCCAAGAATCCCACCGGTAACCTTGTTCCAACCTGTCACTCCTGCCTTCAGCAGAGTCTGTGATTATGTCCCAGTAAGATACAGCCTTTTTTTAATATCACCGCTTCCTCCGGTTTAACAATTTCCACACATGAAATTCAAATGCTTTGCTCAAGTCTAGATTGAGGCAGAAAAACCCATTTTTATCTCATCAAATAAAGACTCCGGGTCAGGCAGAAACAATTTACTTGAATACCCTTTGCTGCATTTTATCCCATATTCTTGCTCACACACAGTGCTTCAGCTACACGCGTCCCCCCGCCTGTCCCAGCACCCACCCAGCTGGTGCCTGGATCACTGCTTCCCTCTCCCATGTCTGTCCTGGTCAGCAGCCGTAGAAACCACTCTCAACCTGGCAAATACAGCAATAAACCTTGCTGTCACCCTCACAGCCACATGTCAGCTCCTAATGTCTGCTGGGAGAAGCCCTTTGAGCCACGGTCTCACTCCAGCTGCAGGAAATGTCTGTTTCCTCATCTCTCCTGGATTTGTCCCTGGGCTCAGTCATGACTTTGAGGGTCATCTCTTCTCGTTTTTCTTTACTTGATCAGACAAACGTTTGTTGACGCTCTCAACACAGGCTGGGATGCCCAGCAGCCCAACATACTGCAAGACTCTCTTCACACCTCTAAAGTACAGTTCATAGAACAGAATCATAGAATCACTCAGGTTGGAAAAGACCCTTGGGATCATCGAGTCCAACCATCAACCCCACTCTTCAAAGTCCTCCCCTATACCATATCCCCCAACACCACATCTCAATGACTCTTCAACACATCCAAGCATGGTGACTCAACCCCCTCCCTGGGCAGCCTATTCCAGTCTCTGACCACTCTTTCTGTGAGGAATTGTTTCCTAATGCCCAGTCTCAACCCACCCTGTTGCAGCTTGAAGCCATTCCCTCTTGTTCTATTGCTAATTACCTGGGAGAAGAGACCAGCACCGACCTCTCTACCATGCCCTTTCAAGTAGTTGGAGAGGGTGATGAGGTCTCCCCTCAGCCTCCTCTTCCTCCAACTAAACAGTCCCAGCTCCTTCAATCACTTTTCATAAGATTTATTCTCCAGGCCCTTCCCCAGCTTTGTTGTCCTCCTCTGTACTCGCTCCAGCACCTCGATATCTCTCTTGTGTTGAGGTGCCCAGAACTGGACACAACACTCCAGGTGTGGCCTCACCAGTGCTGAGTACAGGGGGACAATCACCTCCCTACTTCTGCTGGTCACACTATTTCTAATCCAAGCCAGGATGCCATTGGCTTTCTTGGCCACCTGGGCACACTGCCGGCTTGTATTCAGCCACTTGTCAATTAGAACCCCCAGGTCCTTTCTTTGCCTGTTGGACATTTCAGCCATTCCTTGCAGGTCTTATACTCTAAACTCCCAAATACTCCAAACCTCTCACACAAATTCTCCTCTCTCATCGAGGGTGCTAACTTCAGACAGTTCTCCTACCTTTAACATAAAAGAAACTAATCCAACAGCTCCTCCTGCACTCTTACAGGCAGCTGATCTCATTAATTAGTTTCTCTCATTTCCAAAAAACTGTTCTTTTATAGCCAAAACTCTGTTAGTGAACCTGTTGACACATCTTCCCTTCTAATTCACACTGAGCAACTCTGGATTGCTTGGTCTGAAGTCATCTCTTGGGAGAACACAAAAAGGGGCACAAGAGCAGCATCTTTTTGGGGAGCTCATGCTGTAAGCTACCACCGCTGCCCAGCGAGTGCCGACAGGAGCAGGAGCGATGGCCCCGGCAGCGGGGGATGCAGCGCTGGCACTTTGGGACTCATTTTGACAACAATAAGGTGAAACAGTCAGAAAACACACCCCTGTTCTGCTTGCAATCGGACTTCTCCATAGAATCATAGAGTGGTTTTGGTTCGAAGGGATATTAAAGACCATCCAGTGCCACCCCCTGCCCTGGGCAGGGACACCTCCCTCCACACCAGGTTGCTCTAAGCCCCCTCCAACGTCCAGGGATGGGGCAGCCACAGCTTCTCTGGGCAACCTGGGCCAGGCTCTCACCACCCTCACACCAAACAAGTTCTTCCCCACATCTCAGCTCCATCTCCCCTCTTTCAGGGTCAAACCCTTCCCCCTCCTCCTAGGGCTCCCCTCCCTCATCCAGAGTCCCTCCCCAGCTTTCCTGGAGCCCCTTGAGGGACTGTAAGGGGCTCTAAGGTCTTGCCAGAGCCTTCTCTTCTCCAGGTTGAACCCCCCCAACTCTCTCAGCCTCCCCGTCCAGCAGAGGGGCTCCAGCTCTCCCAGCATCTTTGTGGCCTCCTCCGGCCCCTCTCCAAAAGCTCCGTGTCCTTCCTGTGCTGAGGACTCCAGAGCTGGACACAGTGCTCCAGGTGGGGTGTCCCCAGAGCAGAGCAGAGGGCAGAGTCCCCCCCTCGCCCTGCTGGCCACGCTGCTGGGGATGCAGCCCAGGATGCAGGGGCCTTGCTGGGCTGCCAGTATACGTTGATGGCTCATGTTGAGCTTCTCATCCAACACCCCCCCCAAGTCCTTCTCCTCAGGGCTGCTCTCCAGCCATTCTTCACCCAACCTGTATTTGTGCCTGGGATTGCCATGACCTTGCACTTGGCCTGGCTGAGCTTCATGAGGTTCACACAGGCCCACCTCTCAAGCCTGTAAGTCCCAGGCCTGTAAGCTTCTCCATCCCCCAGTGCGTCCAGTTAGGGTTGCTCCTTGTTGTCACTCCTACCTGTCCGAGCTCTGGAGCAGCTCAGTTTGAACATGGGCTGTGCAGACACCAGAGCCAGAGGGGAGGAAATGCACAGCTCAAGGTGCCCAGGTCCCCTCTAGAAGAGGGGCCAGGAAGTTTTCACCAGCTACTCTGACACTCCAAGTTCAGGGCTCTTGTGTGGACGGGTAACTCCGAGCTCTGCCATGATTTAAGTCACGGGATATGGAGCACAAGAGGGAATCTGCTCCTCCATCCCCAAATCCTCCACCCTACCTCCACACGTTAGAGAAACACGAATAAAGCCATAAAGTTTAGCACTCAAAACCCAGAAATTTTAGGTTAAAAGTTCCCCAGACAAACAGGGATTTACAAAGGGGCTTCACGACACGTCATGTGCTGGTTTGTGAGCAAAGGAAATCAGACTTACTCCCTGCATCGCTTGGACTGGGCTCAGAGAGAACCCAGTTGCATAGAAAAATGGCTGTTGCAGGTAAAACTTGTGCTTGTCTTGCTGAATAAATGTGTAGCTAATGAGGCAGTGACTGTGAGAAGAAAAAAGAAAGCCTCATCTTTATGAACTTGGAGAACTAGATCCTACCTCTGCCAGCCCAGAGCTCTAGCGCAACCTGGATTAATCAGGTAACACGAAACCTTCAGAGGTGGCTGCTAATTCCACGTTTGTTTTCCCAGTGCCGCACCTGAGACACCAGAGATCTCAACTGCACATATGCCACAGGCCCACCCTTTTAATCAATTTAACTTCTGAAATAATTAAGCACTTTTCCATTTGTCCAGAGGGAAAAAAAAAAAACCCACAACAAAAACAAATAAACCAAGCCTGAAAAAAGGTGAAAAAATAGAACCCCCCAAGGTTGGTCCATAGTTGGCAATTTCTGTCTTATTTTCCTGTGCCACAGCAGGGAAGCAGCTCTGCACACAGCCTCGCCGGAGACTCCCCAGATATTTGATATTTGATATTTGCTGGGAACCTGCGGGCCAAAACAAGAGCACGAAGGGATCCCATAGAGAGGAGCAGGATTTTGTCCTGGGAGCAGGGTTCGGAGGCTCTGCAGCAAATGGAGCACAGAGCGACTGAAGAGGATGAAAACAAATGTTGAATAACACCAGTCCTTCACCAAATGAGGCAGGTGTCCTCATCATTGCATACGATGATGCAATTAAAGCCTGTATCCTGTGACTGAGGAGCAGAATTATGATGGTGTAACAGGTTTAGGTTTATTGGCTTTTTTTAATGAGAAGGGAGATAAAAAACGGCTGCATTTTACCTACCTAATGAAGACAGATAGAAGAGTGCAGGGAAAAGGTGCAGCCTTTAAAGAAAGGCTGTACTGCAACAAGAACAGTTAATATAATAAATATGAAACATCCTCATCTCCCCACTGCTGCTGCAGCTTCCATGGCTTGGAGCTCAGCTCCAGCCCCCCTGCGTGGGTCCCTGCTGACAGCCACAATATCTCCGGCAGACGCCAAGCTCTTTGCTGTATTCCCACCTTGCCTTCTCCTCTTACATTCCCATTCCAGGCTCGGCCACGCTACTTTTGGAGGGGAAAATTCCTCAGTCACTAGTCACAGCCCAGCCCGTGAGGACAAGGTGGATGTCTCTGTCAGTGGCACCTTCTCTCACACCGAGCTGTGCCCGTACCCAGGGACGGTCCGTGGGGGACACTTGGTCAGGGACTGCCTCCAAGTGACCAAGACACCACTGAGGGACTTACAAGATGGGCAGAGGTTCTCAGCCCGTCTGATGGGGCTGTGGTCAGGCTCACTTGGACAGAAAGCAGACAGCACTCACAGCACTGAGCACAACAGTACCTTCCACTCGCTATAATCCCACATCAGAGGAACTAAGGGATGTGACAAACTAGGACAGGAGGTCTGCAGGCTGTGGACTGAACGCAGTGTGCCAGGGCACCCTGCAAGCTTCAGCTGCACAGGCAGGGTATAGGCAGCCCCCCGCCCAAAACACAAAGGAAAGCAAGTTATACACAATATTTTGTCCTTCATGGCTTCTACAAATCAGCACACATAATGCAATCGCTTACAGGAAAGCAATATCCTCCCCACCAACTGCTGCATCCAACACATCAAAAAAATAATTTAAAAAAAGATCAGTCGGTGGTTGTGCTACTCTTGCAGGCAACTGTGTGATAAGAGTTAAATAAAAGAGTTGGAGCTGGGAGAGTCAGCTGAAAGGTACGCCAATGACCCAAGGACGTAAAAGCAGACAGGCAGCACAGAGGTATTAGTGGTTCTGCCGAAACCAAACTCCACGACAGAGCCTTCTCTGGGCTCACAAAAAAGCATTTTCAGGGCCCACAAGGAAGATCAGGTGCCTCCTCCATCCCAGGCCCCACTCTAAGGGCAGTCTGTCACTGCATCAGGTGAGTTCATCCTGGCCTTGGGGTTGCCTTCGCAGGTTCACTGTTCCCACCATTCGGTGCAGAAGGGCCTGAGACAACACACGTGTGCCGTGCGAGGTGCACGGGGAGGTGACACTGCCAGGGAGGGACAGGATATTGCTTGAAAAAACACACGGTAGGATGCTGCCTCGCAGACACACACACATACAGACACACACAACCCCTTGCCCACAGTTTGCCTTATTTCAGATTTTTTTTACCCGCTTCTCCGAGGCAGACAGGAATCCCTCTTCTGCCGCCTCCAGGAACTCTACGATGGGGCTCAGCTGTGTCACAGTCTGGATCAGCTCCTCCCTGTGTCCCAGCAAGCGAGCGGTCAGCGTTTCTCCCTCGTCTGTGCTCTCTGGGGGGAAGGGATTCAGAAACACAAGAGAAGAAACGAGTCAGTCTGAAGGAACTGACAGGCTCCTGAAGCGAGTGAGACTGAAAGATCTAAGTGAATAGCAAAGCTCATCCCAAGCACAAGCAGCAGAGGAAAACCACTTTACTATTCTCTTTAAACTCTATGAAAGGAAAACGTCTCATTTATCTAACAGAGCACAAAGCCATAAAGCAAGCTGGAGGTTAACACCAGGTTTGCGAGGCCACTGCTTTATGTCAGACTCGAGTAAGAAAGGGGCTTTCCGTTTTGAGGCTCAGCTGTGCCGTGACCCAGGCTGGCTGCACCCTATCAATCCAGCCCTCCAGGCAGCACCAGGAGAGCCCTGCGCTGCCTGCACCCCGCTGCTGTGGGACAGAAACACCCCGGGATCTTGGCCAGCATAAGATAAAACTCCTGTATCCAAGTACAGATACAGGGTTTCTGGAGACCTGCTTTGCCTCTAGGGCAAGAAGCCAGAGGCTGCACCCACATCTCTACCTGTTTGCTGCTGGGCTTCTCCTCTGCCCCCTTCTCTCTCCAGCAAAGCTGCCTCCAACTTGGGGTTCACATCTTGAAACAGCTTCAGCAGAGACACAAGGGTCTGAGCATCCAGGGGCTGAGCATCCAGGGGCTGAGCATCCTTCACTCGGCTCAGCAGCTTCTTGAACACTGACTGTTCCCCTGGCTCTGCCAGACAGGCAGCCACAGCCTGCAATAGGACAGGTAAATGCAGGGATGGTTTTAGTAACAGTCAACTGTCCCCTACAAACCAACACAAAAAGCAGAATCCTCAGGGTTTTGCTAATTTTTTTTTGTCCTCTGAGCAGACACAAGCTGAGCTTGCTACCAGCCAAGGCCCTGCACTGATCTCCTCGTCTGGTCTGTGGCCACCAGCCCTGGGAGGAGGGCAGCAAGCCCTGCCAGGTTTTTCTTTACAGTCCCACACACTGGAGCTGATTTCACCACCAAACACATTTCTTCATTTCTTTCCCCAACAGCCTAGCGCCAGTAAGCCTAAGGAACTTAATAAACCATCATTTCAAGCCCACTACTTTGGAAGCCCAAGGCTAAGGCAGGGGATTCTAGATTTCACTGCAGATCAAGGAGAAAGTGGTTGCATAGAAAGCAGAGAGTATTTTAAATGGGACTTTGAGGAATCCCCATCCTCAAGTCACAACAGAGTCATGACTCCTAAAGATTTGGAAAGGAGACATGCCAGCCTCGAGCACTGTGGGTTCTCACAATCGCCCACAGTTCCAAAATCCACTCCATTGACCCCAAACAGCAACCAGAGGCAAATATGCCTGCACCATTATGGAAATAAAAGGAAAAGAAATAAGCTGTAACTCTTGCTCCCATCTCCCCGGAGCCCTTTAACGCTGTAAATATTGCCCCTGAAGACACCAGCTCTCCAGGAGCGATGCCAGCCTTTCTGAGCAGGCGTCCTTTATTGGAGACTCCAGGGATGCTATAAAAGTACCTTTGAAGTGGAGAGCTCAGCCCCGCACCAGAGCGAGCGGCCATTCTCTGCTGTCATTGTCATTTTTATTTCTAGGATAAAAAGACTGAATGCAACTGCTTGGGGCCGCACCAGGGGAGGGTGGACCTGCTTTTCCTGGCAGGTGTAAATGCTCATCTATTAGGGCAGCGCGACAGTGCAGTGACCTATTGCAAAGAGTACCCACAGAGGGGACGCTGCGGGACTCCCAGCCCTTACCCGCTCACGGCGTTTTTCCTGCTGAACAGAGAGACGTGGACATGAAGGGCTCTGTTATAAAGGAAGAAAGGAGATGCTGCAGACGTGCTGAAGAACAAGCTTAAAGGTATTTTTTTTAACGCAAACATTAATTTGTAATGAGACGTGATAACCAGATCATGTTTGTTCTCAAGGTTTGCGTGCCTGGCGTGCCTGGCGTGCCTTCCAGATCAAAACCATCGTGTAAAACACAAAATATCTTGACTCTCACCATCCTAAAGGTGCTCAGCACCCTGCCAAATATATGCACTAATATGGATGGAAAGCACCTTGCATTGTTGCAATATTTTCTTTTAATTTTAATTTTATTTTTTTTTTAATTAAAATCAGAACAGCCTTACTACCCAGAGCTCCAGGTAATGTCCTTTCCTCAGTGCATGGCCTTGGCTAATGGAAATGATTTTTCAGAAATTGAAAAGCTCTGCTATTGATAGTCTCTTTCTGGAAGACCTTTCCTTGGACACGTTGCTCAGTGGGAACAACAGCCTTCTAGCATTGTTTTGAAAGAGCACACAGGGCATTTTAGACTCACTTTAAAGCACTAACAACTCCCAAAGATCCTGGAAAAGATGGAGAAATATTGATATAAGCAGGAATCCCAGCTTCCACTTAAGTCGTCATGCACCCAGGCATTACAGCCTGATCCATTGGTTTTTCACTGCCTCAGACACTCACAAACCCTTCAGAGCCAAATTGGCACAAATTAGTGCACATCCAGCCTCCGGACCGGAGGCAGAGCTGGGCTCTCGGATCAGGGAATCCTGCTCACTCAGCTCTGGCTCAAGCTAGAGCTGCACCACCAAATAGGTTCAATGTCCACTGAGAAGATGGGTCCCAGTTGAGGGTGTCACTTCTGGTGGCCCCAACAGGACTCAGTAGCTCAGTACCGCTACGGTCCAACACCACGAAACAGCCCTCTCAGTTCATCCCAAACCTCCCCATGGCCACGGCAGCCCCCAGGCAAGCTCTGAACAGAAACTTCTGCAGGCAACACTGCAGGAGGTAGGTCACCTATCTGTATCATCTCCACATCTTCCAGATTTTTACAGATTTCTTTCCTAACACAATCAATCCCTACACTACTGTGTCCCTTTGTCCCACCACAGGATCTCCTGCTCTGCCCCATTGCTCCTTATTATTTCCTGCTCCTTCCAACATCCCCTGCTGCCCTGGGTAGGAAGACGCCCAAGTCTGCTTGTGCAGAGCCACAGCCTGCTTCTGAAACGTGCAAGAGCTGAGCCAGTGCTGTGTTCTCCCAGCCAGACACTCATCTCCTCACACTGACCCACAACACTCCCAGAAAGCCAGAGCCTCCAAGACCTCCACCTCCCTCTCCAACGTGAGCATGAGATTAAGGATTTTTTGGGCTGGGACGGGGATACTTCAGGAGCAGCTGGTGGCTGTCCCTGCAGGGAGTGACCCTGAGCCTGGGCTGTGCTGACCTCAAGTGTTGTGCCAACCTGAGGGATGTCCTGGCACCCGGAGATACTCAACCAGATGGGCAAGTAACGCACATCCCACCCGAGTGTTTGATGGCCCGTAACTGAGACTGAAGACAGATGTGGGCAGAGAGGGAGGGCAGCTCAGGGAAGCCACTAGCCCAGCTGGCCACTAGCAGGTAGGCAAGTAGGGTTATGGATTTTCATGCCTTTTCCACTCCCTTGTTCCCACCATGAGAGCACATCTCAGCAAAAAGCCACTTTAGTGACAATTACTGAGTGATCTCCCTCAAACATCAGCTTTAGAGTGAATGTGGGTGGGGAGGGACCTGCAAGAGACAGGCTGAAAGCCTCGGGGTTTGGGTGACAGAAGCAGCCAGCTCCCTTCACCTCCTCCTGCACAAGCCAAGGCACATTCAGTTACAAGAGTCACCCCTGAACATGGTAAATCCCATGCCAGTAGCTCAGTGCCACCTCCAGTGCCCAAGGAGAGCTGCACTGGCCACCCAGCGAGCTGCAGGACGCACCACGGGGAAACTTAAGAAACTTAATCATCAGTCCTCTGTGAACGCAAGCTGCTTTGGGTTTTTTACTTGTTAATTTTTCAAGTCTATAAGGTGAAGAAAATATATTAAGAAAAAACCTAGAAGCCTGCAGAGACAGAGCTGCTGCCCCCGGGGCCGGTGGCACAGACAGCACAGGGACTGGCTGTACACGTCTGGAGCAGAGAGAAGCTCGTAGGCTGTGACTGCACCATGAGGTCCACCAGCTATCGCTGTGCACACAATAATCAAAGAAAAACTAGGTTCCTGCTTCTGGTTCAGAAATCTGTAGTGCCCTTTATTCCACCCTGCGTTTGTACAGGAGTGAGGAAGCAGACCCCGGCACCAGAAGGCTCCGAGGAGAACGCTGACCCTCTGCTCGCTCCACACGAGAGGGACAAAAGCTCAGCCCAAACCCCACTCAAGTACACCAGAACAAGGGGAAAAAACTTCTCCAGCTCGGTCACCGCAAAATAAAACCCGCGCAACCTATCACTCCTAATCAGGATGCAGAAGATAACAGGAAATTTCTTTCTTCTGCCACATCCAGAAATCCCTGCAGCTGCAAACGAAGGACGACAATAATTGGACAGGCCTATAGGCAATGGAAATGATCCACAAGCACAATGACATTTATGCTACGTGGGAGAATCAACGCTCCCCCACTTCATCTGAACCCAGTAGTAGAGGGAACAAATGAGCTGTGCAATAATTTGAATTGAGTTTCTCTAAGAGAGCACAGGAAGATAAGACTTGACACCAGCAAAGCTCTTCTACGCTTCCCCAAATTACTGCAATTTCAGTCTTGTTCTCATTTCCAAGCAGGTTTCATCCAGGCCAGAACCAAATTAGATAGAAATAGTTTATGTGAGATATACAGACTCTAAAACAAAAACAACCCACAAAACCACATCTCCTTACACAGAAAAGCAACACGTCTGCATTTTTCAGCCCAGGGAGCAGAACATATAACATCAGACTTAGAGAGAAGCAACAATTCTCACAAAAGCAAGCCCTGCACCAAAACCTCCTTGGGGAAAAACCCCACGGCCCAACAAATCTCCACTGGAGGTAGCAGGAAATAAGGCAGCAACAGCAGAGGGGAGCAGACAGGAGCATGGTGGGGAACAGTGCACCCATGTGGGTACGAGCTCACGAGCAAAGGAACAGAAATATAGAGGCTACATTTGGGGCAAAATGCCACCGAGACCAGAGGAGCCTCAACACAGGATGGCTTCAGTGTCAGGGGCAGGTCTGCAAACCCCCCACCAACACCCACAAGTCCTTCATGCTTTGCTCTCCAAAACATATCGCTGCCTGCCCTTAGGGATGAGCCACTCACAGAAGGCTCCTGAGCAGAAGGATGTGCACAAGGGGTGGGCAGCCTCCCCTGTGGCAGGGCAAGCGTGCCTGGCAGCACCACTTAGTGCAGAGAAACGGTATCCCAGTGGCTTCCAGACCAACTTTTACTTGCTCCAAGGCATCCATGAGACTTCAAGCAAATAACTAGCAAAATAATACAAAAAGTGGGGGTGAAAGGAGAGAGGAAAAAAAAAATAATCCATTGACGTCTACCACTGGCACAATCTCAGCTGTAATTATGCACCGCGAGCTAGGCTCTTCGGAGCTGGAATTGCACTTTAAGCATGAATTTAAAAACACACCAGTGTGTTTCCCCTGAAGAAAACACCGGGCACTTGTGGGAAAAAGCTATTCCTTTTGCTGGAAACAGAGCCCAGGCTCAGTGCCGGTCCCTCAGGTCCTGCTTGTCCCAGAGGGGAGCTCAGGGAGGGACAGGTCTGGCTGAGCCCTGGCTGCAGCCTGTCCCCCCGCTGCCTGGGGGCTGACACTTTTCATGCCTGTCACAGCTGAGAAGTGATTTTTTGTGAAGGCTTAAAGAAAATCCATTTCTCATTTATTCAGCATTTATTTATAGCTGCAGAAAAATTGTCCAGCTGCTGTTTTGCAGTCAGACACCCAAACTGTCCCCGAGCTCCACAGCCTCTCGCTCAGCTCCCGTTGCAAACACTCGTTTGGGAACACAGAGGCTGGGGCACGGGGCTGCGAACCTTACCCACTGGGTCTTGGAGATGCTGAGGAAACACGAAATAACAGCAGTATTTTTGCACAGCAGTAGCAAACAGGGCAGTGAGGCAGAGCAGGAGGGAGGCAGCAGCCCTGCCCCGGCACTCTGCCGCTGCGGTTCTGCCCCGGGGAGCAGCGCAGGCGGGCAAGGGAAGGGATGCCGGCACAGGCAATGCCAGGGAGCTGCCAAATCCCTTCTGGCAGTGCCGTCCACGTCCCACAGCACCCTCCCCGGCTCTGTCAAGGTGCAGAATAGGTAAAACCTTAAACCTGACATATTTTTCTGATCAGGGCGACAATCAAACATACAAAACCCCAATCCTTCTCAGGGCACACGGGCACGCTGAGAGCAATGTACTCACAGCACCTGTCAGCATGGTCAGGCTGGGGCTTGCTTCTACAAACACAAATTAGGACCCACATCTCCCTCCTAAATGTTAAGCTCAACACCATCAGGAGGGGCAGCAGCTCAGGGAACGTGTGCTTCCCTCTGAGAACATTTTAATGCTTATCAGAAAAGAAACCTGTACTCCCTGATTCAAGGGAGTTCTCCTCCCTGCTGTCGTATGGTTTGAGTTTTTTTTCTAATAAACACATTGCCTTTCAAAAAGCAATTTTTAAAATTTTTAAAAGCAGAATGCCACCACAGCCAAAACATCCCATGTCCCACGGTCATACTGGGACGGGAAGGATCAAGTGACTTGAATCCAGACAGCTTCCCAGCACAGCAAGCGCACGGGAACCCAGACAGCACCACAGCCCCCGACCCGGGGAATAGTATTGCTTGGCTTCAAAAGGTCAGCTCGCCATGGAGCCACCAAAAAGCCGGCAATAAAAGTCACATTCTCATTTTTCCACACACAAAAAAAGTACACAGGGTGGTTCATGCAGCCTGGTATGAAAAACGCTTTATCAGAAAGAGACGGGGTGAGGAGAAGCACAGTCCCATCCTCACTCCAAAGTGGCCGCCACATGTTTTTCCACAGCCCCTGCGATGGCGCAGAAGCACAGTGCCTGCCCCAACTACCGCTATCGTACCGAAGCTCCATGTCCTCCTGCTCCACTGTCACACCAACAGGGACCTGCTGGTCCTGTGGTGGCTTTGGGCCAGTGTGAGAGCTGGGACCTGGTTACCCTTGTTCAGAGCCCAGAGTATCCTTCAGCATTAACCAAGTAGCAGACTCAAATATTCCCTCCAGCAGTAACTCAAGCATCATTCCTCAGCAGTGACTGCTCTCACAGCAGCACATCGCCAGGAGAAGCGCTGCGAGGAGGCACCCGTCCCCCCCAAGGCTCCCCCCCGAGCCCCCTGCCATCCACAGAGTGCAGCAGATGCTCCACGGCAAGCCCTCGCCTAGGGCTCGGCAACTCTATTTTGGGATCTCATATGTCAGCCGTTTAGAGTGGATACAGTTCCCAAAGCAAACGCCATAAACAGGAGGAGAGGAATCAGTGCTGGAGCTCTCCTACAACCCAAGGAGGATGTCTTCAGGGCAGGACACACACTTCTTCACCTGTGCACACGAGCAGCTTATTCTTACAGATGCTTCTCTCCAGGGGTTGCTCAGCTGGGCACATCTTGCCCTTCAAACAACCAGGTACCAGATCCCCAGTTGCCCATGAAACAATTTCCTAAACAGGGAACAAACTATTCTAGCCCTCAGCAGGGTGAAGAAAAAACTTGTATCATTTACTCAGGTAAACACACCTACCTCCTTTTGAGAGGCACCAATTTCTCTGCACTCTTCTAGTCTTTTCAACACAGCTCGGGCATCAGAAAGGGCCTCAGAGAAAACACTTTCATATTGAAGAAAGAAATCCAGTTTACAGCTTTTGCTCTCTGCTGCTGTGTGAGAGAAACAAGATGAGTTATTTGCTAATTGAAGGGATTCACAGAAAGCATGATGTGATTGAAAAGCATCAGTTTGTAACCAGCACATCAGCTATAATAGGGGAACTGTGACTCACAAATCCCTTCTAAAGATATCACGCAGCCTGGAGGGAAAACCAACAGTTTATTTAACACCAGTTAAAAATGGAACATTTATTTTAAACCCAGTGCAGCCTCCATTTCCCTCCCATGCTGAACAGTTTAAAGGATAAGGTAGCATTCGCATGCAACTCTGCTCACTTAATGTTACACAGATTGCCTTCCAACCTCACGTCCCGCACTGACGCAGATCCCACTGTACGTCAGGTGCAACCACACACAGGGGTAAGGAAAGTTTTGCTCACTCCAGTTCTGGTAAAGTGAGCATTCTGGTGAGAATGAAGGAATTGCAAAGGCCAAAGGGAGTATTGCACAGTGTCAAAGGAATAAAGTGCCTGCAGAAAAGGGGGGTATGTGTTGGCACTGCTCCCAACCCAGGACAACTAAAAAGAACAAACACAGAGGAAAAGATCCCCCATAAGAGGCAAACGTGAGCCAAAGCAGTTGCAAATAAGAGGGAATACTGTGCCCACACCCACAATATCTCACCTAAATCCCTGGCTCCTTCTTTCTCCTCTGGAGGCTCAGCAAGCTCCCCTTCAGCACTGCCATCCTGCTCAGGCTGAGCAGGGCGAGAGCCTGAATCCTCCCGCAGGGACGTGGAGTCACTCGGCATCGCATCCTGCAGAACCCAGGTGTGATTCATGGCAAGTTCCTGACCAGGAGGAGAAACATCTGCTTCCATTTCTGCTTCTACAGTGACAGGAGAAGGGGAAACTCTCTGAGGGATGAGGGTATCTGTTCTTCCTTCAGCAGGTTTTTCAGACTGAGGCGGATGATCAGCTTCAGCATGGTTTCCTGATGAGTCTGCTGCCTGGCTGGAGACTCCTCTCACCACCGGGTCCTGAGCCGAACAGCTGATGAGGTCCCTGAGGAGGTTTTTGCAACTAACAGCCACATCAAACATCTGCAGACTATCTGCCACAGAGATTATTTTGGTGAAATTGTGTTTCCCCAGTGGGAGTTTACCACTGTACATCATCTCCAACAAGAGCCCAAACTCCTCCGGGGTCACCACGGAAGCATCAATGGAGATGGTGTCTGTGCTGTCCAATAGGGATTTAAAAAGCAGGCTGGCAGCAGCCAAAACCACCTTGTGTGCTCTAAAATGAATGTTCCCAATGAAGATGGTGCAATCACAGAACTGCTGCTCCTTGCAGAGAGCACAGAGCTGCTGCAGCAGCTGCCTGCTGTAACCAGGAAGCTCCATGGCACCAGAAGCTCCTGGGCTCCTCTCACTGTGGTCTCCACTCCGCTTCCACAAAGCCCAGCTAGCAAAAAAACAAGGGATCCTTTGCTCAGATACTAGAAACACAGACAGAAAGAGTACGCAAAAATTACGTTTTGGTTTACACCTCCTCGTAGCTCCCTGTGCTGCAGTTCAGTGGTTACAGCAAGAAGAGGCCCCTTCTGAACTCACGCTCCCCAAATTCAGCAACTTACCTCACTAGAGCTGAAGGGTCTAGATACTGCTCAAGTAAAAATACTTCAGAAAGAGCTTGGAAACGTGTATCAAGTCCCAGGAGTTATAAAATGGAGAAGAAAACTCCCTGATGTGCCCCTGTCAAGAGCTGAAGGTTTGAACGTTCTTCAGATCAGGCACCGATGCTGAATTCAGGAGCTGGTTTCAAAAAGGCAGGTGGGGAAGCAGCACAGAGGGACCTGTTCAGACCATCTTCCAAACACAGAGGACAATCTGAGGTATTGGTTTTGACCTGCAAAGCACAAAGTGGTTTGGGACCAGTTAATTTTCTCCCCACATCACTGCTAAGCTCAGCAGGGGCACGCAAGCGTTGGAGACCGAGGTCTGCTCCCAGCCCAGCGCTTTCAGCAGACCCTTCTCAGCACCCCCTTCTCAGCACACCACGGCCCAAACTCATTGATTTACAAGGCTTTTCCCCCAAGCTATAATTTCTTGCAGAAGTCCACAGCCCTAATCCCATTAACCAAAACCTCCCTTTGACTTTTTCCCCCCACCATTGCAGGAGGGAGTACAGATAAGACATCTGGCAACAGAATTTTTATCAGCAGGATATCTGGAGTTTTTATCTAAACTAGACAAGATAAAGATGTTACTGCCTTGTCCACCCACCAGGATGCCTAATGCTGGTGCTGGCAATGATGCTGAAGCAAAACAGTGTGAGCACCAGAGGAAGAGCACCTGGATGGACACGATTTGCATAAACTTCAACTGCTTAACATCTTTGCACCCAGCTTCCTACTCCTGTAGGGAACAGGAGCAATATTGCCTATCATCAGGGCAGGAGCTTTAACGAGCTGAGGTTCATACACCACCTTGAAGCACTGCCTCGCACAAAAGCAGACTCGGAGCAACTCCCAGCTTGTACCAAATTGCCAGTGGTGAGCAGATACTGGGTGCAGGCTGGGGTCTCGCTCCTGCAGGGCGCCAGCCCCTCTGGAGTTCAGACTCTGTGGGAAGCAGGACCTCCTGCCCGCAGGCAGGACCCCGGCTGTCCTTCTGCAGGGCACTGCCTGTGGTGGCTGTGGGAGACAGGCTTCAAGACAAGAGACACTGCTTCATATCAAAGCTCCAGCCGGCTGAGCAACTGGTTGGTGGATACCACCTGTGCATGGGAGCTCTCCTGCCCAGCCAAGAGCTCCTCCGTGCTTTACAGATGAAGTAACTTGCTTTTCAATCACCAGGATAAGATCACAGATGGTTCTGACATCAGCTCAAAGCAGAGGTGTCATGCTCTCCATCTGAATGCCTTTGAAGAAAGAGCACAGGGCAGGTGGGTCCTTTTCTGGAAGACAGGGAACCTAAGCAGTCACTGACACCCACCCTCCTGCTTCCCAGAAGCTTCTTTGTGCACTCTGCTACCGCAGGCTCTGCTCTGCAGCTCATCTCTGCTACTTTGCTCCTTCCAGATCCACAGGGCCGGCCACCTGCACCTCCAGCCCATCAAACACACGGGCCCTGCTCTCCTCCCACGCTGCTGGAAATCACCAGTAACCAGGCTGCCATCAGCCGCGCTGCTGCTGGGCGTGGGAGAAGAAAAAGACCCGTTTCTTTTGCCAGACTCGATGTAATAGTGGTTTTAGTCCACCCACTCCTTCCCTGGAGCTGAAGGACTTCCAGTATCTGAGATGAAATTGGGTCTGCTGGTTAAATAATAATAGCTGTGGGTCTTCCTACAAAAGGACAAGCAGGGAACATCAATGTCCTAGAAGAGATGTCTGCTCACTTTGCCATGAATAGCCTTCTGCATAAAACCTCTCGCTTCCACCATGGCAAGCTGGAAGAAGCAGCAGCACCGTCTGCTCCCTCTATTCCTGGCAAGAATATAAAAGATATATTTGCCCATGATAGCTCAAAACAGTGAAGCTCTAAGCAGCCCAGCAGCACCTCCCCTTCTTTATTACAGCAACTCAGAGCCCTGGAAAATGTGCCCTGAGTAATTAGATCAGACTTATTTATTTAAATACATTACATACAGTTACTTCTTTAATTATAGACACCCAAAGACCCAGTACTGCCAAAGAGAATGGATATTTTTTAACAAGGGGTGATGGCCAAGACCATCCTCAAGGCAATTGCTCCCTACTTAGAACATGCTTCAGGCTTTTATTCAAAGCTTATGGCAGAAGGGACCACCAGCAGCAATGTGATTTCTCATTCGTCACTGCCTCCTAGATTTCCAGACTCAGTAAACGGGGTTTGGCTTAAGCTTCTCTTCCAGCAAGGTGCCCAGTCATGATGAGAAGGGATTTTTAGGGGAGGACCCTCCACTGCCATAGTTACTCTAACTGTTAAATTACATACCTCGCTTCTTACCTGAATTTCTCTGGCTTCATCTCCCAGACATTTTCTAGATGGCTTTCAGGAGATCTGGTAGGGTGACTGGGCATCTCTCTGAGAGCAGGTAACTAATACTACAGCAGCAAGGAGTGCTTGCAGGGCACGAGCCATCTGCCTCTGCCAGCACCACCGGTAAGAAAAAGCCATTTGTTACTTTTTCAGCTTAAAGCTGCTTCTCTGCACCCTCTCTGGAGGCAGGCTCACCAGGGACTTCTTACAAATTTCAAACTTCGTAAAACGTGTTTTAAGTGGGCTGCTTCTGGGACCTCTCACACCCAAGCCACACAAGTGCTGCCCTCTTCCAAATACCAGCTCACGTGAGTCAGAAGTGGGGGCAAAGGAGACAGAGGTACTTGCTCATCTCAGTTGCTCAACACCTTGAGCCTGGTCCTGCCACCTTCCCAGGGAGAGCACAGAGGTGGCTCAGAGTTTTCAATCCATTGATTTCCAATGAGACTGTGAAGTCAATCAATTTGAGCCAAATTTTCAAAAGTGCCTAAAATTCCTAAGGCTCTACTTGACCACATGTCAATAAATGTCTTCCTGTCGTCCTTCAGCAGCAGTTACCACCCTCGACTGCTCTCAGGTCACCCACTTAGAATCATAGAATCATCCAGGTTAGAATTTCACTGAATTTTGAAATTCAAAAATTTTGACCTTCAAGATCATCTAGTCCAAACATCAACCTAACTCTGAAAAAAATATACTATCACTAAACCATGTCCCCCAGCACCAAGTCAACCCGTCTTTTGAACACCTCCAGGGATGGTGCCTCAACCACTTCCCCGGACAGCCCATTCCAAGGCTTAAGAACCCTTTCCGTGTAAAAATGTTTCCTAATCTCCAACCTGAACCTCCCCTGGCACAACTTGAGGCCATTTCCTCTTGTCCCATCGCCTGTTCCTTGGGAGAAGAGACCAACCCCCCCTGGCTACACCCTCCTTTCAGGGAGTTGGAGAGAGCGAGAAGGTCTCCCCTCAGCCTCCTCTTCTCCAGGCTGAACACCCCCAGCTCCCTCAGCCTCTTCTCACAAGACTTCTGCTCCAGACCCCTCACCAGCTCCATTGCCCTTCTCTGGACCCGCTCCAGCCCCTCAATGTCTTTTTTGTGGTGAGGGGCCCAAAACTGGACACAGTACTCGAGATGGGGCCTCACCAGTGCCCAGTACAGTACTTCAGCAAAGAAGCCCCTTCTTCTGAGCCTCATAAGTACAGGAGGTCCAGAAAGGGTCTGCAGCAAACATTACCCTCCACTGCCCAGTTCCAGCTCTTTCTTCCTTTCCACGGGTATTTCTGTCCTCATACACTTCCACAGTTTGAGGGGATCATGTCTTTTTCTTTAAGCTACACTAGAAGACGAAAAGGATATGTTGATGGCAACATCTCTTCTTCACAGAGGAGGAGGAAACAGGACCACCCAATTCTAGCTATAGAATTGAAAAGGAGTTTCCAAATTAAATTACTTCTCTTCATTATTCATATAATTACTTCAATCTATATTCAACAGATTCAAAAGCCATCCACGTCACCAGGTTCATCAAAAGATAATTGAAATTTGGGACTGAGCACTTTAGCAATTAGACACTACAGAGATAGGTGTTCCAGCAATGCACAGACGAGACCATCCCTCCCGTGCAGTTACGAGGCTGCCGCAGCCTCACACCATCAGAAAGCTCACAATGAGGCACAGAAAGAATTTTAATGCTGCTGTAACCTTAGCAAAAAGATTCTGTATGCCCCTCACTTCCATCATTAAGGGTTTTTACAAGATGCTGGTCAACACATCTGCTGGCATTAATAAAATAATGCCAAAAGCTCCTTCCTGCATTGATTAGTGGCATCTCAGTGGCCAGCTTGAGATGCATTCCATGCCTGAAATTCTTCCTTGCGATGCACATGGAGCAGGCTTTTTTTTAGCTTTAAAAAAAAGAAATTAAAAAAAAAAAAAAGAATATTGCTGCCCTGCCAAGAAATTAAGCAGTACCATCACAGCTTTTTAAAGGCACAAACCCGCAGCCTTGTGCTCCCTCTGCTGCCAGCACAGCGCCCTGCACGGGGGACAGGCACTGAGCCACCCGAGTACCTGCTGCTGAAGTAGAAGAAAGCAATTCCTACACAAGCTCTAAAAAGCTAAAACAAAGCAGGCAGAAAAAAAAAAAAAAAAAAAAGCGGACAGAAAGAGATAAGCAAAATGGAAGAATCCAACTTCTCTCTCTTAAGGAAATGCCACTTCTTTTGGAGCGGATCAGGGGTTCTCCCAGGAACAGCCCAACAACCCTCTCAGCTTTCTGCTCACAGGAGCTAAAATCCAAAGTGGCCACTGAAGCAAGCGCAAGTCGCAGCCCAGGAAGGCTCGCTGCCCCTGTGCGGAGCTCACTCACCTCTACACGTTTTGCATTTTACTCAAAGGCTCATATTAAAACACTCGTGAAATCAGTAAATGCAGCAGGACAGAAAGCTGAGATTCATTCTCTCGTGTTCCCTGGCCCCGCGGTCCCTCGGGTACCACAGCAGCCTCCAAGCCATGGGCAACTTCCTGTTTTCAGCTCAAAGGAGTTAAGGGCAGTGACAGCCTTAAATCAGAATTTGAATACTTTTTGTGTGTGTTTACCAGTTTCCTGTTTTCTTGTTACTAAGATGATGACCTTACAAAGAGGGTTATTGGAAAGCCAGAAAATCATGTACTGCAATTCAATTTTCTTACCTCTCCCACCAAAAGTAATTCAGTCTTTGTAGTGCTGAAAGAGGCTGAGGGGTCATTACCTTTCTCTGGGGGGCTCCAGAGGGCCAGAGCAGGCAGCTCTCCCAGAGGATAATGTAAAACCCAGTACTAGGAGCCAGGGCACACCAATTTGTTTTTCAATCTATTTTATTTCAGTTCAGAGCATCAGTGCAGACAGATAACGGAGGAAAATAAGCAACACTTTGACTAAATTCAACGCTCCGCGGTCTCTAAAGGCAGCAGAAAATACCGCTCAAAACCAGGCAACACTTCGGCTATCTGTCTGCACTGATGCTCTGAATGGAAATATAATAGATTGGAAAACAAATAGGTATGCTCCAACTCTTAACAGCATGTTTTCCATTACTCTTCAAAGCAAGGGCTGCTGCCTATTCCTCCTGGAATAGGGCTGCCTCAATGAAAGCAAAAAATCACGCAGTGGGAAACCAGCACAAACCCAAAGCAATGGCCAAAGTTTGCTCCAGTCTCTGCCCGTCCCTGTCTCGCCCAAGAACACTGAAAGCGCTAATTACATTTTGCAGGTTCTCATAAAGTCCTCAAAACCAAAAGCTGGACATCTGAACTGCTGTTTGCCAGGCAGGTTTATATCAGAGAAGATTTTATGTTGTAGTTTATTAGTGGCTTTTTTTTTTTAAGAAAAAGAAAACAACAACAAAACACTACTTTGACCAGCTTTTGCAATCCATTTTGCTGTCATCAGAAGTGCAGAAGACATCTGTTACACCCCAAAGCAGACAAGGTACAATGCAGCCATAATGTGCCTTGAGCCCAAAGCTTCTTCAAGCAAAAAGGGGAAAATAAAGAGCTTTAAAATGACACTTCTCAAGCGTGGTCAGCTCAAAACAGGGACTGATTCCCTCAGACTTGTTAGTAAAGAACACAGAATTACTCTGAGCTGAATCTATCGAGAAAGTAAGTCAGGAGGCACCTGGACCTCCTGCACAGCCACCTCTTCCATCAGGCCTCCGTGCCCTGAACCTCCATTAAGCCAAAAGGACAACTTTTCAAACACAAGTGGAGCTGCTTTGAGACACAGAGAAGGATGCTGCGATGCAAAAACCTTAATAGAATTTACCCAGGAGCCAACTTGCTTCCTCCATCTCCTGGAATATTTCTATAACCGCCGAGCTGGGCGACAACGGGCACATCTTCAGCACGTTGTTTACATGGTGTGTTGTGGCAGTTACCTCAAAATACACTGCAGAGATGGAACAGGAGCGAATGAGCAGCGCATGGAGGCTGGGGTGCACAGCTGGAAGAGGACTGCCGCTCTGGTCGGCACTCCAACAGCCTGCTCCTGTATCACCCCGTCCTAGGACTGCGGTTTGAAACCCAAATTTCTCCTCAAACACAAGGCTCTTCGTACATCTGAACCAAAAACCCGCAGAATTATGATGCCTTGTGTCATCGCTGGGCCAATAAATCAGCTGTGCCAACCTTCCTTTCCCCCAGAGAAGACATTACCCCCAAGACTGTCTCTCTCTGGGGAGGCGACAGGTTTTATTGACGCAGACCCACCTCAGCACATTTCCATAATAAATCTAATCTAACCTGGGAACAACCTGCTACTGAATGGGGCAACCCTGCTCCTCTGCAGCAGCTCTGTTGAGCTGGTGATCACAAGAAACTGGATCAGACCACTGATTTCTTGGTGCGGAGCAAAACAAACTATTTATTTTTCTCTTGATGGGTCAGTCTTCCATAATGATCTCGGTGCACAGACATAATCAGCATTCCAAAGAAAGGAGGGGAATCTGCTATGGCAAAAGGCATGGAAGAGCAAGATAATTCCTTTCCACGCTTACCTTTAAAACAACTCTCTGGAGAGGTTCATAGCTTCTGCCCAAGCAGGGGACACAGTTCTGAGGCCCTAAAGTGCATCTAATGAGGAAGATCTCAGAGGGGTCAGTGGCACACAGGTGACAGGCTCACAGGTAGAGCAGAAATTGCAGTGGAAACACCTTTGCTTTTAGGTGTAGGCTGCAAAAGGACAGAGCACTGCAATCAAACAGCCCCCTTCAGCAGAAGGGACACGTGAAGGGCTGTAAATGAGGGGCACAGCAGCTCGCCACATTTTGGGACCCCGGGCAGCACCCATGAGGCACCCCCTGATTTAACACAGCAGTCCCGGGGGATCCACCTCCCGGCCAGGCTGCAGCCCAGCCCGGCCCGCGGGCTCCCTTCAGCCGCCTCCAAAGGCCTGGCAGGAGGAGCCGGTGTCTCCCCGCGGGTGAGAACGAGCGCTTCGAGCCCCTGCCCCGGGAGGCGACACACCGCCCCATGCCCGGCGCGGGGGAGCCAGGCCCAGCCGGGCCCCCGCGCGGGTCTGGCACCGAGTGTGGGGGGAGGGCAGGCCGGGGATCCCGGCGGAGCGGGGCATGCCACGAGCGGGGCCGGGGACCAAGCCGGGGACCCCTCGGGGCCCGGCCCGCCGCGTAACGGCCGGGCGAGGCAGGCAGGGCCCAGCCGCCCCCGTCGCCATGGTTACCTTTATTGGGCGCGGCGCGGCGGACAGGGCGCGGCGGCGGGAACAATAAAGCTTCAACAACAGCCGCCCCTCCCCTCCGAGGCGGGGGCCGCCCCGCCGCCATCTTGAGGCGGCAGCGGGCCGGCTCCCGCGGCACGTGACAGAGGGGCAAGGGGGGGGCTGGGCATGCGCAGTTCTCGTGCGCGCCCTCCCGTCTCTCGCCCCAGGCCCCGGGGGCCGCCCTGAGGGAGCGGTTGGCCGTGGCCGCCGCGCCCCCGCCCGCGCCAGGCCTCTCCTCGCCCCGCTGCCTCAGGCCGCCCCGGAGCTCCTCCGACAATAAAACATCCTCCTCCCGCGGCGGGGTCGGGGCCGTGTCCTGAGAAGGGCAGTGGCGGGGGTGAGCAGCCCGGTGCTGGGGGTGGCCGGCTGCGAGGCGCCTGCCGGGCTGAGGGAGGGGGGTTCTTGGCAGGAGCCGAGTCTGCTGCTGGGTCAGTCAGGCCTGGGCCTCCCAGAGGTGAGGTTAGAGGCGATGGCTGCGGGAGGGGAGTGGGGCAGAGGGACACAGGCCTGGCAGTGGGTCCTAACCGCCCTTGTGTGCCATCAGCCGCCTGCTGGGTCACTCCAGTCACTAGGCCTTGGCTTCACAGCAAAGTGCTGGCATGGCTACATGTATTATTTTTTTTTTACAGAATCATTTAGGTTGGAAAAGACCCTTGGGATCATCGCGTCTAACAATCTACCCTACTGGTTGGAAAAGACCCTTGGGATCATCACGTCTAACAATCTACCCTACTTAGAAAGTTCTCCCCTCCACCGTATCCCCCAACACCACATCTAAACGACTCTTAAACACATCCAAGCATGGTGACTCAACCCCCTCCCTGGGCAGCCTATTCCAGTCTCTGACCACTCTTTCTGTGAAAAACTCTTCCCTAATGCCCAGTCTCAACCCACCCTGTTGCAGCTTGAAGCCATTCCCTCTTGTTCTATCGCTAATTACCTGGGAGAGGATACCAGCACCGACCTCTCTACCATGTCCTTTCAAGTAGTTGTAGAGAGTGATGAGGTCTCCCCTCAGCCTCCTCTTCCTCCAACTAAACAGTCCCAGCTCCTTCAATCGCTCTTCATATGATTTGTTTTCCAGGCCCTTCACTAGTTTCGTTGCCCTCCACTGTACTCACCCCAGCACCTCGACACCTCTCTTGTGTTGAGGTGCCCAAAAGCGGACACAACACTCCAGGAGTGGCCTCCCCAGTGCTGAGTACAGGGGGACAATCACCTCCCTACTTCTACTGGCCACACTGTTTCTAATCCAAGCCAGGATGCCATTGGCTTTCTTGGCCACCTGGGCACACGGCCGGCTTGTATTCAGGCCGGCTCGTATTCAGGCGCTTGTCAATTAGAACCCCCAGGTCCTTTTCCACCAGGCAGCTCCAGCCACACTTCCCCAAGCCTGTACCGATGCAGGGGGTTGGTGTGGCCCAAGTGCAGAACCTGGTCCTTGGTCTTGCTGAAGCTCATACCATTAATGTTGGCCCATCGAT